CATTCCCTGGTGATGGAAATGACTGTTGAGGACAGCGTTATTGGCATGGTTTTCTTGTTTTTGAACAGATCCAACAGGAACTCATCTTGCCTAGTCACTGCTATGACACGGCTTCTTCTGTTTCCTGGTTTGGATAGCCCGCTCTCGGCCGGCGAGAACTGAGTCCGTATACGGGGTAGTGTTGGGGGCGATGCGGGCAGCCGGTCAGAGACGGTAAGGCCACCAGAGTAGCTCGAGTCAGTTGGACTCATTACTGACGGGTGAAGGCTAGACGGCCTACTAGAGATATCGCCATTCTGTGATTGAGTCGCCGTGCTCGCCGTGCTCTTCGCTGTCCGCACCTTATTACTTGAACGAACTCGTTTGACTGATGGCCGACTAGTAGCAGTCACAGCTTTCGCAGTGCATATCTGGAAGCCTTCGTCGATCGTCGTGATACTGTCCCTTAGCCCAGTAGTATGGTCGGACGACTCGTCCTCACTCTCGTCCTCGGACGAGGAAAGGCAGAGCACACTCGACTCGTTCAGGTTTGAGGCATTCAAGATAGCACGGCTACTCTTTTTCCTTATTCTTGGTTTCTCCTTATCTGATTTCCCAGTTGTCCGAGAGGTGGTTTCGGTGTTTTGAGGGTGGCTATGGGTATTTGAGTAAGCCATTGAAGCTGATTTCACGGAGCCTGCCGAGGTCTTGGGCTTCTGCGTTGACCCGTTTGTTACTGCAAGACGGCTCTGGCCAGGTTTTCCGGACTGAACGCTAGGCTGCCGAGAAGGCAAGCTCATTGAACGTCGTTCTCTGGTGGAGGGTGCAGGATCTCTTGATATTAGCTGTCCATACATGACTTCGACCTGATCTCCCGGTCGAATGTCTTCCATATCATCGTGCATTAGGTGACTTTCGATTCCATCAAACCACGCCGAGTTAAGTTTCTTTTGTTTATAGCTGAAATGCCTCCAGTTACCTTCATATTTGCGGTCTGTGAGGCGTTCTCCTGTGTCTTCTCCTAGTTTGGCATTCTCCTGACGTTGTTGTTGTTGCTGTTGTTGACTGACCTGGTCCTTCTGATGATCGAAGGGATCCTGGAGGGATGTAGTGGATTGGTATCGGTCCAGAGGCGGCTGGACAGGCATTAGCCCATCGTTCTGCCGGTACTCTGACTGCATCACGTCCGGTTTCCTTGAGTTGGGGGATCTGGCTGTCAGCCGGTCGAGCGCCCGTTGAGCCCGTTCAAACTTGTGAGTCTTGTAGAGAGATATATCCGACTCATTGGACATGATGGAAGGAGGAGTAGCTGCCCGGTCAAGGGGATGGAGGGCAAGGAGCAGGCGCCTTGCGCTGCCTGGGGAAGAGTTTGGATAAGATCAATCATGGGTGGCCCGATGCTTCTGCTTAGTATTTGCCTTACGTGAAGAAGCTGCCCCAGGACTGTTATCTGTCGAGAAGTCGGTAGTAGATTGACTGGAACCGGCGCGGTAGTCCCTGAGGGCAAGGTCCTGGGAGGAGGTTCCGTTTGTGTGGTATGGTCGGATGGTAGATGTATTCTGGGACTGATTGAATGACTGGGAGGTTGAAGAGGAATCGGAAGGCCGCAGAGTGTCTTGTTTCGAACTCGACGGTGTCTTTTTTGTGACGTGCCGAAGAAAGGGAGACGAAAGACGTGGCCGTACTTTGTGCTCCTTGACCGGCTGCTGCTCTATATCAGGTACCTCCTCGTCCAGGCGGCCTGTCCGGTTTATGCTGTAGCCCCCGGTGAGATCTGACGCACAGCTCTCCGCTCGCGGCGTCGTCTCTATCTCCGTCTCCCGTACGCCTCCCTTGTGCTCCCTCCAGAGGGCCAGGTCGGGACTCGACGTAGCACCGTAGGCGTCAAAGGCTCGTTCGATGATCCCCTGGGGGGTGTCCTGCCGGTACTGACGCTGGTGGTGGTGGTGGTATTGCTGCTGCTTGGGAACACTTGACATCCGCGGGGGGATATCCAGTGTCATGCTGCCTGTGTGAAACATGTGTGTCTGTAAGATCGAGGAGTGACGGCTGTCTGCTGCGCCGGCTGGTATGTATAGCGACTATCTCAATGGGCAGAAGCGTGGTTTGTGCCAGCATCTGGGCCTGCCCTTGTGCTTCCAGAACAGCGCGATGTCGCCGATCCGCCAACCATGCGAGAGGAAATAGTTGCACGACCTGGCAGCTATTGAAGGCTTTTTTTGCTATTATTATTATGATGGCTCTTTTTCTTTTTTCTTCTTTCTTTCTTTCCCCTTGTTCCTGGCAAAGAGTACTCCTGTGGTTGTCGATATCACCAACAGCGCGGCGAACTTCCAGGCTCAACCACGGTCAGAACAACTCGATCCCACGGCCAGCGGACTCGTTCAAGGCGTTCTCGAAGGAGCACTCGTGCCTGATGCCCAACAGAGACGCGGGAGAGAGGAGAAGAAAGGCGGGATATTTGTACGGGGCGTGTAACTAAGCAAGCAAAAAGGTACACCGCGAGTGGGAAGAAAAAAGCAACGAGCGGGCGAAGGTACAGCAGGAAAAAGGCCCTCGCATCGCGTCGCATCGCATGGCCGGCTCTCGCTCTCTCTCTTTCGCTGCCTCCTTTCTCCAGGCCCCAAAAATATTCTCTTGCCGCCGTTTGGGTCCTTTTTGCTTCTTATTCGTCTTTGCTTCTTTCTAGGCTCCTTCGGGGGCTTGCAGGGGTAATCTTTCGCTAGCCTCTACGCTGCGCTGCGCCAAAATAACACCAGCGAGGATCGTCACACAAATTGGAGATCGTGCAAGGGGATATCTGAAGCTGATAACCCCGTCCGGGGGTCTGAAGATGCGAGAGACGTCAGGAAAAGAGCACCCGGCTTTACTCCGTACGAAGTGTTTACGGGGAGGAGAAGAATCAATGCACTCGATATAAGGTATCCAGCACTGTTCGCTATGACGCTCACACCACAACAACTCGCGAGTTTGTACATACATATAGTTATGTGCCTGGTCCTTACATCACGATGCTTCCTTCCTGTGCGTCTGGACCCCCCTGCTGGAGCTTTCCTCGGCTTCGACCCGTTCTATATGCCCTGTGGAGAAATATGCTCCGTACCTCTGCTGGTTGGTCTAGGATTAATTAAACTGGCCTACCAAGGAGAGCAAAAATGGGGACCTGAAACACAAATCGACTGGGCTTGCGCTTCCGGAGACCAGGCTATGACAGTCGCTGCATTACTTACGAGACGGGACTCCTTCCCGTTGGCAGCAGCTCCTCGTCTTTACTCCGTACACTGGCTGTGCTACTGTTGACATCTCTTCTTACGATGCAGTTACATAACAACAGCGGCATAACTAGAGACGAGGCCACGCCCGTCCGGCAGGTGTTGCCGGATGGGCTGAGATGTGATTGACGACGGGCCAGGACGGAAAGCAAGGAGAAGCCCTGGGCACCGGCTTCAGCCAACCAGGTACGGGAGAGCCGCAAGAGCTAGGACTGAAAAAGGCATATTCCGGCTTAAAGGATTTCAACGTTCAAGGGGAAGAAGCATGTATATTTTCCCTGCTGATAGTTATCTAGATATATATGGAGCCCGAGCTGTCCCCGATTTGCTGGGACCACATCTCGAACGACCAGGCCTGCATTTTTCTGTCACCCTATATCACGATCTGAGCAGTATAATAACTGCAGATAGATTAAAATCTCAAGCCCCATACCATAGCTGAACCGATTCGCAAGATTTACTAGGGTGATCCAAGGGCGATCACGGCCGAGTGTATCGTGTTAACCATCCACGGGCATCGCATCGAACAGCTTTTCTACATGCACATGTATGGAGTAGATTGTTGAAAAACACTCTCCGTGTAAACATACCTAACCTAGCGTTCCACGCCTTGGACGATTTTCTCCCAACTACGGGAGGTTGAAACACTGGCCGCTCTTAACTTTAACGGTAGACCCAGAGGTTGGACAGGGCCTCTTCCGTGTCTCTCTTCTTTCTCTGTGCCTCTTGTGGCACCCATAAGCACGACTATCGTCCTTGCCACTGAGGGGATACGGAGTAGACGGCCAGCATACGGAGTATCAATTATGAAGAGCGAGTCACGGAGAGCCTCCCCTATCATGTACGTTGTGTTGAGCACTCCTTGCATATTTTGAAATCCGTGCCCCATATGGAGTACATACGGAGTACAGTGCATGCTTGGTGCCTTTGATCATCACCGCCATCTCCTGTCACTTTCACAGGCCGAAGCCACAGAGATAAAATGTGCCGAAGATGGGCCCCTATTTTGGCTGTCTTAACCACCATCATCAAAACCCCCTGGTCCGACCCATCTTCAACCGCTTACCTACTGACCACACTCCGCGATGGGCCGTTTAACCCAGTTTCTGATGGGATTTTCCTGGAACGCACCCTGCATCTTATTCTCAGATGCTATTATGACAATCAAACCATCTCAGCACCCATGAGAATACGTCAACTTAACCTGGCTCATAATTGCCATACGATCGGCTCATATAAGGATGTTTGGAGTAAATCTGATCGAGCTCTTTCGTCAGACAAGCTTAATCCGACATGGTTTATCGTCAAATTCCCCATATCAATAACAGTAGGCAGCGTCTTGCTTGCAGTAGCCCCCATACCAATAGCAATAATAATAGCCGATAATAAATAATAGCAATAATTATTAGATCTTGCCAAGTGTCTTGATTCTGAAATTAATCGAGCACTTTCTAAAAAATCTCACATTTCTTCGGACAATGCACCTTGTGAAAATAGTCGCCCCATCTCCATCCATCTCTCTCTCCATTTTAGCCCCGTAGTTCCCTCTACATTTTAATGATCTCGTGGCGAAATGGCGGCGTCATCAGGAGTATTCCCTATGGATTTATGGCATGCGAGATTGTCTAATGCAATGACAAGCCGATGGAGAATTTGATAAGTACAGTAACTAAATAGTTGATCTTTTCACTAAAAAGAAAATATGGAATAACAACAGAAGATACGTCTAGCTGGAGGAATTCTCCAGCAAACATAGTTTACACTTTATTGCCTCCACGAGCATATATAAAACTCGTATTGAAGACTCCAGGCCGAATTGAGGCCAAAGCGCGCCCATCATCGCCCGTTCTCTACAGTGGCAAGGAGAGGAGAGCGAATTGGGGGTGTTTTGGAGGAAGGGAGATCAGCCCAAGCGAGAGTTCAATAGATGGCAGATCAGCGTTATGATATTTGCTTGTTCTAGATGCCGCTTAAGTGCCTAGATATAAATAGTCATCTCAAGTTCGCCGCTATGCGACGAGAAATTTCAATTTCTCGCTTTTGCGAAATATGATCAAAGGAGCTAACATAATGATAAAATGAGTACGGAGTAGATGGGGTAAAATGGATAGGAATTTATCAGCATCACACTAGCAGAGATGGATGGGCTCAATTACGGAGTAAATATATATCATGTTAATGTATGGAATAGGCACCTGGCTGGAAAGAATGAGAAGTCAGATAAATGATAACTACAGCGAAGAACACGAGAAAAGAGGCAGCTGACCGCGTTAACAAACAGTAAGTATAGCATCCTCGGTGCTCAACAACTCTCTTCGGCCGCAGAATCGCCGATGTCAATGGGATGGGCCGCATTGCTAAGTTTACGCCGTTTATATGGCAATTGCTTTGCAGATTTATCAACAGAAGCAACCTGCGAGTCGGCATCAACAAGTGGCCGGCCATTTCCCCCGCCATATCTCAGGCCTCTTCTTAGCTCGTCTTGGGCACGGGATGCAAGTGAGTATTGAGAATGCGGAGGAGATGACGGAGGGCTAGTAGTGGCAGCATTATCACGCTCGGTCCGGCCCCCATTTGCCATAGGCGATATGCGCTGGCAGTTCGAAGGAGCCACTCTTGGGGCCGCATGAGGCACGGTGATGTTGTCATCCTCATCTTCGCTGATAACAATTGGTTCTGAATTTGGAATGGTCTGGATACTCGCCACTCTTTTGTGCTGTAGGTCAGTGTGGCTACTTGCCATTTTTCCTGCCTTTGTACTCAAAGCCCTGTGGGTCGTGGGAACTGCAACAGGATAGACGCCACTTTGCTGATGATCTAGAGTTGACGGTATCGTATACTATGGAGAAAACCTGTTAGTGCTGTCCTAGGCCAGTAAGCATGGTACGTACGTGGTGTGATATTTTGGCCAAAGGGTTGAAGATCTCGTTCCTCAGGCGATGTTTAATCTCCTCCGAGCCTGGGACTCGGAATCTGGGAAGACCCTTTTCCGCAAACCCCCTACTTTTCGACCCAGGAGTTGGCTGGAGGAAGCCATTCTTTCTAAGTAGGTCCGTAATCTGCACAACCTCGTTTCCACTGCAGTCTATATAACTGTGAGTAGGCTGTACATCTGTTTGAATGGGGGTTAGCGTATACTTACGCAGCTTTTGGGAAAATTCTTTAACTCGACTTGGGTAGCCATCTTCAATAATTATTTTGAGCGCTTGTCGGAGCAACACAAGAGTTTCAATTTGCCTGAAGACTTTGCTTTCATTCGACCCCAAAAGGCACTTATAGCATGCATGGGTGGTAGGAATTTTCTCGTCATTGGGGTGTAAGAATCCATAACATGTCAAATGTTGTCTGGTATGGCAGAAATCGCATTCAAGCTGCTCAAAACATGTTAGAATGAACGAAACGTAAATAAGAGAAACGGGAAATAGAGCTCAATAGGCCTATACCATGTGTGACTCTGGCTCATGCCAGCCGCATTGGCAATTTACCTCACCCCTGCCACTTTTAGGATCCATATCACCTGCAATTTGGGTTGTTTGGGAAATAATTATTCTCTCCTTAATTTTTGATGTCTGTATCTGGCTCAGACAGGGCTTAGCACTTGGAGCCGACTTTGAGAGGTTGGAATTCAAATAAGATTCCACTTGGGTTGGTATTAATTCGCTGTCTGGAGTTGGTATCTCAAGCTACCAGTTAAAGCAAGGGTTAGCAATTTGATAGGCCTTAACCCATTCAGTCTATATCCTCACCATCTGTTGTAACATTCCCTTCGTAATGGCATCCTGTCTCGTTTGCGTTGATTCCGGTACTTCTATTGACTCTTGTGAACTTCTTTCGTCGGAGGCTAGGGCCAAGGCTTGAGAAGAAGGCTCTTCATTTTCTAGCCCAATTTCGCTCTCACGATTTACTATCTCTGAATATTCAAGGGTATCTGGAACCTGTCTTGTTCCCACTTCCTCGTCGTTCTCGTCTTCACGAGTATATTTAAGAGAGGTGACTTTAAGTCCGACTCTTCCAGCAAACAATTAGTACCGAGGACGACAATGAACTCCAAATGGGAGGAAATTATCACTCACCTGTGGCAGCCAGCATCCATTATACCACATGATTGTGTTTCTTTCTTCCAAGTTTCATCTTTGGGATATAATATCTGACCATGTTTTGTAGGTTTAAACCCATGAGGCTCATACTGCAGAGGGCAGTTTTCAGTATAAAAAAGATGAACTTCTAGAAACCGCTTGTCTATACATTTATTAGTATCAAAGGTCAGGTTGTAGTGGGCAAACATGTTCTTACTTGGTAGAATGGGGAGAAAAGTGCTTAAAGTGATGAGCCTCCGGATTATCATCTCTAGGCCCTGTTTTGCAGTTCGAAAAGTTTTAACTTCCGTTGTATGCACTTTGGTCTCCAGGGACACTGCTTCTAGCCCCTTCTTGAGCTCATTAACACCGGCCTCTGTATAATTGAAAGAAAAAGTATAGCTTTCTAAAACATGTGAAGGGTTTTCCTTATCAACAAATACCGTAAGTTGAACTGCTTCAAGCACATTTCTTTCCAGAGCGTCAAAAACTCCGTGTTCCTAGGGAAAGTGAGCGGAAACTCTAAGAAGGTTGAGAAAGGCGAAGATAATAACTGACAAGTAGGTCCAAAACGTTATCGGCCTTTGGGTTGCGGCCCCGTAAGATTATCTTCAGTGGCTGTCCACGCTTGCCGGTCTCGGCTTCAGGGCCAGAGCAGCCGTCGACAAAGTCACCATAGGAGACGTTCGAGTCCGGGCGCTTTAGGTTGAGAAGATCACGTTCTCCGAAGCAAGATAAAGGCAAGAATTCTCTAATGTATGCAGTATTTAGTAATGTATTTATAATGTGACTTCCTTCGTGATCGTACCTAAGGTAGAACAGCGTTCCGAACTTATATTACGCAATTAGCTATAGCCGTATATTTACCTAAGCTAGGAATATAACCCACTGAAGCGTGTAGCATGATCTGGGCGAATGCAAGGCTTTGTTTCTGCCTTAGATTTTGGGATTGACAAAGCGATAGTGGTTTTTGGATGGTTTGTGCACAGGGACCAGTAGCAACGCGTTGGCCTTGAGGATTGTTCTGAACAGAGACCGAGGCGGCGGACTTGGCTGTGGCTGTTGCTGCCACGGCCTGGCGAGCCGGACGCGTACAGATAATTTGAGCCATGATTCCTCAAGGACTTTGGCTGCTGAAAAACCCTGCTGGTGATATGGAGGTTTGAAAAGGAAGACTTTTGAAGATACGAGATGAGGTTGAAGAGAAGAAGTAGAAAATATCCCAATCGGGCCATGTCATGTGAATTCCCAATACGGCAAATTCTACTTCAACCTCAGAAATCAAGCTCGTACATACTAGGCAGTAATTGAGAGCATCTTGATAAGATCACTTGATAAACGGATTAGATATATATAACAAATGCTACTGAGGTATCCTGGGCCGGAGAGGCTGATGATAGACTGCACAGGGATATTGCTGTGCAAGATAAGTGCGTCCCAGGAGCAAACTCTAGCTCGGGATACACACTAATTAGAAGCGGGCTAGGCATTTAGACAATGCTTGACGACTGGGATATACTAAGAGCCGACGCAGAGCATTGAACAACCCTTTACTGTCGTCGGGGATATTGAACGATTGGCCATGGGAAAGGCAGGAGGGTATAATTCACACCGAGCGGGCTCCCCTTGCAACTGTCGTTATTAGATGCTGCCCAAAACAAACATGCCGATGCAAACAATTGACTTGCATTAGAGAAATAGGGATTATTCGGCCTGACAACATGACGCAAGAAGCTCGTCTCCACCTGTGTGGGAGTTGAGGTCAACAGCATGTAGACAACATGCAACCTCCAATAATCCATAACATGGCTCATCATTGAAGGCCCTGCATTTTTGCAAAACAACGCAAGATGACAAGAAAATAAAAAAGCAAAAGAACTAAGCTCAACAACAGCGGGCTGAATGCCTGAGGTGATTGTATTGGCCTGTTGGGAGAAGAAAACATCAGGCTCGTCCCGGAGTTATTATTCACCATGCAGAAGAGGCCAGCGGCTCCCCAGTGATTGGTCCTCCTCCTTCCTTTTCTCTCTCTGCTTCGTGCTGCTGTGGGATGGACTCCATCTCTTATTACTGCACGTGAAGCAAGGCAAAACCCACAACATATCGCCCGGAAGACGCCTTGCCACGGAGAGCGGACACAGTTAGTTATATATACCGTACGCGAGCAGAATCCGGTGAGAGTGAAAAGATGGAAGAAAGTGAAACCCTCGGGCATTCACTACCGCTTCTTCGTGTCTCATCTCGTTGGCACCCCTTTTTTATGCCCCGTCTTTGTCTTCAGAAGGAAAAATCTCTAATCTTATCTTAAGAATCAGTTCTATATGGGGGAAGCTGGGCCCGGAACGCGCTAAACCGGTTTCGGGTCTTCTCACCGCGCTTCTTTTCTGCCAGCCACGACCGACCGAAGAAGGTCTCGCCGCCTTCTCCTTCCTCCTGCTCGCTCCCCTCATCCATCTATCAAAATATCTCGACGGGCCGCGTTGACAACCTCGCGACAGATACCCGATACCTCGCTGTGACAGCGTTTGCTTTGCTTGTCTATTGTCTTCTGTTGTCTACTGTACGTCCCCATCCCGCATCTAAGACTTGTTGCCGAATACTAACGCTATCCAGAGTCGATTCGATGTAAAAAGACTGGACGTGTTCCCCCCGTTGCCTTTACACGACTGTCCCGGCACTTGACTGCTATAGCGGTGCATTCGTGATAACTTGCCTCGGCCTCCTGCCAGATATGATCTGAAGACGACAACTCGAAGAGCGGATGTTGCCGTCGCCTCAGACTGCTTGAAAAGGGCGTCTCGCCTTTCCTGGCCGCAACATCTATCCCATTCTTTGTCCTATTATTTACATTTACTGCCTTCTGGATGTGCCACGAATCAAATAAAAGAAAAGAAAAGGGAAAAACGAACGAAAGACAAAAAAAACAAAAAACCCAATATCTCAATCTCACCCGCAACTTCTACAAGATGCACAACTCGACAACGACCAGTATGTCTCCACTATCTGGGAAACCCACGCGGAAACCCGCCAACTCACCGACAAATGATGCCGAACCGTCGTTACCAGATCCTGCCGTTACGTCCGGCTTTAACTCGGTATCAGAAGAGGACGCAACACAGAAGTCAGACAACTGCGTACCATCAAGCAGCACCGTGGGCCAGTTCTCGTTTGCTCCGGCCACGCAAACAACTGTTGTGACAACCACCACGACTACCACAACCAAATTTCCGCCATTTGTGATGAGACCTCCTCGTTTTTCTGGACAGTTGGACCCAAAGATTTACCCGTTAGCATCCATGCCGACCCCAGCGCCCCTTCGTGATATACGTTTTGTTTTGAACGGGAAGTCGGTTATTTTCCATGAGGCGGACGACGTTCCAGGTATACTGAGCAAAGTAAGATTTTCTGATGCCCTCATTAATGGAGGCATTTTGTAGTAGATACTGACGCGTCACATAAGTTTAACGAGCAACAGGAATCGCTGAAAGCCTCAGGAGCTATTCGTTCGACGCTTCGAGATATACCAGAAAGCAGCAAATCCGATGCCTCAAACTCCAAACTACTAATCCGAAGTCGACCCTCGAGATCATCAGACGCACGGCGTTCACCTTCCACTACGTCGAATCCTACTACTAAGCCAACATCTGCCACGATTCACACTGCTTCTGAAGAACAGCTACCACAAACTGGCTCAGAGCAACCAGTTTTATCACGACGTTATGATTTGCCCCAGCGGGATCTGGGCCTAGCAACTCCAGAGACGGAGAATACAAGCTTTTTGCATTGCAATAAGGGAAAACACAGCCAACGGACCCGCTCAATGTTAGGGAAACAATACCACGAAGAGTCGCCTAGTGCCTCCGGAATAGTTAGCCCCATGGCGCCTTCGGATAAAGAGAGCAACGGAGATAGTTGTGGAGATGGTCCAGAGAAGTCCCCACTTCTGGAGAGGCAGCCCAACATAACTTCCACCCAGACGGCTGGCCGTTCTGGAAATACCCAGTCAAATAACGGATCAATTGATGGCAACGTACGAAAAACTATGAAATTGAAACCCCAGGTGAAGGCGCGACGCAACAAACAAGGATTGCTCGGACTAGAGCCCTCAGATTCGCAAAATATGTGCTTACCAAGCCCCAGTCTCTCGCCAATAGCTCTTATGAACGCGCAGCAATTGAGGGAAGCTTCGGGCTCGACGGATGACGGGAGTGCAGATTCAAGCCTAGATGAACTGCCGAAACTCAAGAATAAAGGCATTCGTGCAAAGAAGGTCAAGAAAATAGTGGACTACAGCAAGAAGATTGCCGCTAGGGGCTGCGTTCCATTGTCACCCAACTCCTCGGTGCTTGATATGCCGAACATGTTGAATTCCTTCGAAGCGATACCAGATGAGCTCAAGTCGTACATGATGTATCAATTTCTCCGCAGATGCCCAAAATCGACCCTGCATATTGTTGCAAGTGTCGTTAATCCCGCTTTAAAATGCGACTTTCTGTCTAACTTACCCTTAGAGCTTGGTTTGAATATTGTGAAATATCTTGATGTGAAGTCCATGTGTCGAGCTTCCCAGGTCTGCAGAAAATGGAGGCATATCATTAACTCGGATGAGAAGACTTGGAAGGCACATTTCGTTGCCGATGGATTTGTTCTTCCTGCTGGGGAATTACAGCAAGCCATCGAACAAGGTTGGGGATGGCAATTCTCCATGTCCCCCAGTGATGGTGAAAAAGATCTTCGCATCCAGTCCTTCAGATCATCTGATAGCGAATGTTCCTCCTCAAGCGCATGGCATCCAGAGATTACAGGCTCCAAGATGTCTACGCTCCCAACGCCGTTTTCTCCATCTCCAAGGAAACTTAAACGCAAGGCTACGACTCATCTTAGTGGTAGAAGATCTGCCAAGCGTGCAGAGACGGTCCTTCCATCTCCCGCGGAAGATAAAGCCACTCCTTGGCTACAAGAACAGCTTACTGCCAGCGAAAATCCGTTCATTGCAGCCAATGCAGCAGCTATAGCTGTTCCTTATCCCGATTTTGGGTTACCTTCCCTGAAGAGTCTACATCTCTATAAGACACTCTATCAGAGACATTATTCAATTAAACATAACTGGATGCGGGAAGACGCAAAACCATTGCATCTTGCATTTCGTGCTCATGACCACCATGTCGTTACCTGCTTGCAATTCGATACCGACAAGATCTTGACTGGAAGTGATGACACCAACATCAATGTCTACAACACCAAAACTGGAGCGCTTCAATCAACCCTTCAGGGCCATGAGGGAGGCGTTTGGGCTCTGGAATATTATGGTAACACTCTTGTGTCAGGTTCAACGGATAGATCCGTTCGTGTCTGGGATATTGAGAGCGCAAAATGTACGCAAATTTTCCATGGCCATACATCTACAGTTAGATGTCTGCAAATCCTGTTGCCGGCAGAGGTTGGAACTCTCGCAGATGGCACTCCAGAGATGATGCCCAAGGAACCATTGATTATTACTGGGTCACGCGACTCTACGCTTAGAGTGTGGATGTTGCCAATGCCCAGTGATCCTACCTATTTCCAGGCCGGCCCTGCACAGGATGATGGGACTTGCCCTTACTTTGTTAGAGTGATGGTAGGACACACACACTCAGTCCGTGCTATTGCTGCCCACGGTGATACCCTAGTTAGTGGCAGCTATGACTGCACCGTTAGGGTCTGGAAAATATCCACTGGTGAGGCCATTCATTGTCTTCAAGGCCATAGTTTCAAAGTTTATAGTGTGGTTCTGGATCATAAACGAAATCGCTGCATTAGTGGTTCAATGGACCACATGGTCAAAATTTGGTCCCTTGACACTGGTGCTGTCCTGTATAATTTGGAAGGGCATACTTCTCTTGTTGGTCTTCTCGACTTGAATGCTGGCCGCCTCGTTTCCGCTGCGGCAGACTATACTTTAAGAATCTGGGATCCGGAGAACGGTCAATGCAAGAACACATTGACCGCACATACAAATGCCATCACCTGTTTCCAACACGATTCCCAGAAAGTCATTTCCGGCTCCGATAGGACGCTGAAAATGTGGAACGTGAAAACTGGGGAATGCCTGAAGGACCTTCTCACTGACCTCAGCGGAGTCTGGCAAGTCAGATTTAATGATAGACGGTGCGTTGCAGCTGTGCAACGCAATCGTCTGACATATATTGAGGTTTGCATTAACGCAGCACCCTTCTTATTTATTTACGATAACTAACAGTCTATTTACAGGTTCTCGACTTCGGTGCCTATCGTGATGGCACGCCTGCACATAAACTTGGTCAGAGGATAGTCGTTGATGAAAATGGTGAAGAAGTTAGCGACGATGCTAAACCTCCCGCGGAAGAGGAAGCCTCTGATTCTTAAACCTAAAAACCCGCCATCCAAACCGAATAGCCAGCTACTAGTCCGAAAGTTTATTTGCTCCTGCGCACAATTTCGCGCTTACACGCACCACAACCACATCTACATACTCAAACCGCAATTATCTTCGAACACATCCGATAATTATTAGACGATATCTTCTTCACCCTTTACCAATTACGCGTTCAATCCCATGATGCATCGCATAGCGTGGACGACATGCATTTTATGCCCTTTACTAACGGTTTCGCATACTCGGATACTGCTCTTTTTACTTATTTGTCGGTGATAATGGAGTTAGTTTATTTTCGCCCACCTGGAGAGTTGCGAGTCTACTCTCTTGTTTCTCATAAGAAGGGGAGCGGCTAGCTGTTTGATTTTTTTTTTCTTTTAATTATTTTTGCATGTCATCCACATACCCCTTTGCGTTTTATCTATTCTTGCTCGAGTTATAAGCCCACAAATGCGGTTGTATGAGTACCCCTTTTTATGTAACTTTCCCTGTCTGTTAATGTCTACCTCATGCTTGATTCCCACTATTTGCCGTCTAGCTTGCCAGTGAATCCTCTACTACTTGCTAATGTCCAGCTAGTTGTATGTTAGAATCGAACGGAAAATAGTATTCACAGATTTCTTTAAGTACAGATAAGTTCCCGGATGCATACAATAAACGCCGGTATCCTTACCACTCTATATGATGACCTCAAAACATTTGCTCTCGTACTCCTAACACTGGCAAATATGAACATGAATAAAAGCTAAAGTCCACCTACTAACCGTAGAAGGTAATGCAAGAATAGAGTATTCCTTCACCCAACGGCCCCTTCATTGGAGCCGCGATATTAGGATGGTTGATAGCCAAAGCCAGCAGCTTGTAGAATAGTCCACTGCAATGCATCAATTCCCAAGGGATGTTTATTATGGCCTTCACCAATCCGAATTTTGTTACTGCAAGCCAAAATGTCGCCCAGAGGCGGAATTCCTTCTTCTCGAGTGGGAGTAACCTCCTTTCTGATTCGAGCAATAATATTTCTAAACTGCTTCAAACTAGCAGTACGATGCGCCTTGTGGTCTCCTGCCCTTCCTTCAGTTATAAAGTGATCGGCTTTACTGACGATAATCTGGTGAGGGATAGTAAATTCTCGAAGGATGGAGAGGACTTCCTTATCCGAATGCTTGACACCAGCCTTGCACTCGATAATCAGAAATACTCTTCTTAATCTGGCGAGATTGAACAGAGTCAGATCATCCCACAATCACCATCAAAAGGGAAACGAGAGCCTACGTACTGTTTTCTTTTACTTAGGTATTTCATCAGCTCATGTCCCCATTCTGGTCTACTAGCTTTGCCGTAACCAGGCGAGTCAATTATATTGATCTTTGTTTCGCCACCTTTCAGTCCTCCGACTCCAAACGCATTCATAGTTTGTGTCCGGCCGGGTGTTGCTGACGTATAGCAGATATCCTCCCCAACCAGCATGTTAATTACTGAGCTTTTGCCGACATTAGATCGGCCCATAAACACCACCTCCGGGGTATCTGATTCAGGAATTTTTCGGAATAGGTTTGTCGTCCAGAGATGAATAGGTGAATGTTTTGATTTGGCAAAAAACCGCCTCGCATACTCTAGTTGTTCGGATACTGGAATGGTAGGGTCTCTGTAAGAGCAGTAATCTTCTGGTTGAAGTTTTGATCTCCAACTAGGCTGCTTTCCTAGCCTCGAAGCCTCCTCTGTAGCGGGAATTGCACCATTATCGGGCGCACTAGGTTTCGACGGCTGTCTTTTCGATAGCTCTGGGAGTATAGGATTAACGAGGCGTCTGGAAATGCGAGTGAACGCGGGGCGTGAAGCCATTATCTGGTTGGGCTGTTCATGGATCGAGAGGGTTTAGTATATCCCGTTGGAGATCTGGGATGAGCAGTAAAAGTGGTATAGAAAACGAGTGTAGTATAGAGCAAAGTAGTTTGAATGCCTCGCGAGGAATCGACGAAGCTTCAAGTTTGCGATATCAGGACGAGATGAGAACAAACAAGACAAACAGCATCAAGATGCCAAGAAATGCTGATAAAGCTTCGATAACACAAGCCGAACATCGCAGTAAGACTTGAAGACAAGAAGAGAGCAGAGCAGAAGACAACTGAGAATACACTCTAGCTACACAGAAGATAAGAAGATAGCGCAAAGATGATTAACGCAGTGCTTGTATTCAACAACAGTGGTCAACCAAGACTAACAAAGTTCTATACTCAGCTGGTAACTATGAATCTACATACCAGCGGGATGCGCCTTGGTCACCAGCTAATATGGGGATGATAACCAGGACACGCAAACCCAACAGTCCCTCATATCACAGATATACACTCTTGTATCGCAGCGTCCGGCTTCAGCGTGCAATTTTCTTCCACTACCCCCGTTACTTTCACAAGGCGCGAGCACCAGCTCTTCAGGCAGCCACTCCGATGCACCCACCCAAATCACATACCGAACCTACGCTACACTCTCTTTTATCTTGATATCTACATCGACAGAGTCTCCTCTCGCGCTGATAGACTTGATCCAAGTTTTTGTTGAAGCCCTAGACCGTCTCTTTGAGAATGTTTGCGAACTTGACCTTATCTTCGGCTACGAGACGATGCATGCAGTTTTGGGAGAGATGATTGTTGGTGGCGTGGTGATAGAAACGAACCTCGAGCGGATAGTCCAAGGGGCTAGAGCGCTAGAGGGACCACGAGGAAAGAGAAAGGTCGTTGATAGTGCTAGCTCTGCTATTGGACGGTCAGGAATTCCCGGTTTAGGAGTTCCTTGGAGGTGAATATGGATGGCATGTCGGCGGCCCTCGGCGGCCTTCGGCGACCGCCTAATGGAGTTTAATTGGCGTTCAAACTGGATGGTGAAAGGATGGCGACGGTTTTTTTTATTTACAAAGATATTTGGTGTTTCCCGAGGGCTTCGCCAGCATATCGGGAATGCAGCAAGAACAAGTCAGCCCATTCGACGAGTAGACGAATTATTCCGACGATGGGGTTAATGGCTTCGGATACAACTCTAATTTAAGACATCGAAGAGATATTCGACGCTCTACGGCCGCGCTTCCAGCTGCTCGTGCTCCGCAAATCGTATGGCATATGACGCCTAATATGATATCACCCTCTATATCACCTGCCATTCACCCGAACCCGCAGGTCCTAAACAACATTTTCATGGATCGTTCGCTACATGTAGCTATCGAGATTGGGAGTTTAGCCGACAAGGCTCGGTAGATATTCAAACGTAGGCAGGTTTCTACGGCCGACCTCTTCAACTGCCCAACAACCAGTACCTTTTACTATGTCTGTGCCAAATGGCAGCCCATACTTGCATGGTCCAACCTGTCTAAGACTCGTATCAAACCCTTTAGCCTTGATACATAGTTATTCAATGCCTTGTCCTCCCCACAACTTGCCAAGCATGATCTTCAGAGTTCACGATTAGTTATTTATAGGTATCGTTTGGATACGCCATTCGTTGATATTGCCTATCAGAGCTATCCTTATGCTATGACATAGTTGATATCCAAAAGTATCCCGGCTATTTCCATGTGGCAGACAAGGCAGACTATGCGAGCAGCTCCAGCTAGAACGGCGCCCCCTTTTTTGGCTCACGGACCAGAATCCGTCATATGCTGTCTTATCCTGCAAGGTTATGAGGTGAAAGAAGTACCTACATCATAGCTTCCAATTAGCTTCAGCTATAGTGAATCTTACGTATGCCGAAATTTGGTATTCAATGGCAGCCAGGCTTTTGGAGTTCCACTAACTCCATCTCTCACGGGTGAAGGGCTTATTGATAGCGGAGGGTAGATATTTTACCCCGTTAGGCGGGTATAAAACCCTAGGGTTATTTAGCCAGTCAAATTATCTACTTTGGCCTCGGGGCGAGGATAGAAATGAATATCCAAACACACTAACCTACAGTCTCCATTCTGAACTCACTCGAGCCTGGCTACGTCTCCACTACTCTAGAACACCTAAGGCGATATGCAGTGCTACATTGGAGAAACCCAAGACGGGATACGGGGACCGTGTCTCGTATACCACTCATACATGTTAGGTAGGAAGAAAAGCCATGTCCGTCTTCGAAGCTGGGTTTTAGGGTTAGACTATCATTCAGGAAAAGGTTTAAGCCATAACTGCTAAGAGAAAGAATCATCCGTTTTAGAAACGTTCATGGGTATCTATGCCAAAATAACGGGTCTCGTCGAATATAAATACCACTTGGTTTTCTCCCCTTTAGAAGCATCATTCTACTACCAACCAGCAGATAACAAACAGCCTTCACCATGAAATTTACCCACCTTATCACCTATACCATCCTCACCCTCAGCGGTGTGCAGGCAGCCAAAATCAATGGACCTTGCACTGGTGGCGGAGGTGCCCCTGGAACCTGTATTTCCACTTCCAGCTGTACCAGAGCTGGCGGAAAATATATCTCCAACGCCTGCCCCGGTCTTCCTGCGGACATCAAATGTTGTTCCAAGACTTCATGTGGTAATGGCGGCAACTGTCGTTTCGTCTCCACCTGCTCGACTGGAAACACCCAGGCCGGCCTCTGCCCTGGTCCCACTAACTTCCAATGCTGCCTGCCAAAAGGAACTGGAGGTGGGACATTCCCTCCGCCAAAGTTCCCAGCTGTTGGCAGATGCAAGAAGACCGCTGTGGATGGCGCAAAGAAGATTGTAGCCGCCAACCCGGGTAAGGTCAGAGAGATTTTCTGCATCCGAGACTGCCCATGCCCAAGCAACAGCGAGCACTGCTGTGGCCTTGCAACCGACATGATGTGCACATCTGCGGGCGGCGTAAGTTCCTCCCCTCCCTTCCTAATGGCAGAATGGAGTAGGAAGGCTGTAAGTTAACATGACATGCCACTGTAAAGAAACGCGACAGAGATGCATTTGGCCGCAGCATTGCTGAGTGGGTTATGAACAACCGCAAGAGCCTCAATTTGATGTATGTCATCTGGGGACAGAAGATCTGGAACCCATCCAGAGATGCGGTTGCCCCTTGGTCTAAATGGAGGCAGATGGAAGACCGTGGCTCCATCACCGAGAACCACTGGTAAGTTCTGAATACTTGCCGCATGATCGGAGTCGCCCTGTTCCTCTGTTAACTGGGTATCTTAGGGACCATGTCCACGTTAGTTACAACGGTTAAATATGGCCGCCCGCGGCGGGTAGTTTAGTTCTACACCAAGAACATGTCATGTAGTTGAAATATTCATGAATATATGCAAAGTGTACTTATTCAATAAGTAGCAAACAAGGAGTACTCATTATCAAGTCGGGCTTTTGCATCATCTTCAAGGATTCAAGATGTCCCTTTCTCTCTCTTTGGCGTCTCCAAAACTATATCACGTGATTAGGGCTTGAAATCTTGGCATCGGTACTCGGAGAAATAAAAAAGCGACAGGTTTTCTCACACAAACAACTTCTTTTTTCGGCGTCCAAATATTTGATCTTCGTTTTTCGCACTTTGACTTCTTCATCGCCAGAACAACCAACGACGCCGGTATTCCTCGACTCGACAACATGGTAAGAATACAGTATCCTACGTGAATCCTCAGATCCTCTTCTCGACCTCCGTATACCCCGTTGAGAGCACGACTCAAAATGGGAGTGTCCTGTCGACAGGTCTAATTCCGTCACACCGCGCTGCTCTCCAAGAGCCAGTGAAGGAGGCGTTGACTTGGCTTGAGGTGACGGGAATTGCAGCAATGCAATAACCGTTATCCTCTTTAGAGATCAAAGAAGATGCGATGCTTAGTGAATGCATTTCGCTAATGTCCTCTTTTCTCAATGATAGCCTCCAAAGAGTGGAAAGAAAGTTGCTGCCGCCCCCTTCCCACAGGGCAAGGCTGGCTCCAAGAAGGGCCCAAAGGTGAGTTGATACTAATATCTTTACTCGATGTTCTTCAAAGGTACGACCTGTTTTGTACTAACTGACAATTTTTTTAGAACCCTCTCATCGAGAAGCGCCCACGCAACTTCGGCATCGGTCAGGACATCCAGCCAACCCGTAACCTTAGCCGTATGGTGAAATGGCCCGCCTATGTCCGCCTCCAGCGCCAGCGAAAGGTCCTCAACCTCCGTCTCAAGGTCCCACCAGCGATTGCCCAGTTCCAGAACACCCTCGACCGCAACACTGCTGCCCAGGCCTTCAAGTTCTTGAACAAGTACCGCCCTGAGTCCAAGGTTGAGAAGAAGGAGCGTCTCCACAAGGAGGCTACCGCCATCGAGGCCGGTCAGAAGAAGGAGGACGTCAGCAAGAAGCCATATGCCGTCAAGTACGGTCTTAACCACGTTGTTGGTTTGATCGAGAACAAGAAGGCTTCTTTGGTCCTCATCCCCAACGATGTTGACCCAATTGAGCTTGTCATCTTTCTTCCTGCTCTCTGCCGCAAGATGGGTGTCCCATACGCCATCATCAAGGGCAAGGCCAGACTCGGAACTGTTGTCCACAAGAAGGTAGGCATATATTTTATATAATACTCTTGTCTATCAACATCTACTAACGACTGTGTCTTTAGACTGCTGCTGTCTTGGCCATCACTGAAGTCCGTGGTGAGGACAAGGCCGAGTTCGCTAAGCTCGTCTCTGCCATCAAGGAGGGATACAGCGAGAAGTACGAGGAGGCCAAGCGCCACTGGGGTGGTGGTATCATGGGCGCTAAGGCCCAGGCTGCCATGGAGAAGAAGCGCAAGGCCGTTGAGAATGCCATCAAGATCTAAGCTGCCTAACGGTCCTTAGCTCTTCCATCATGTCACTCTGAGTCAGGTCATGGAGTTATAGGTACGGGAAATGGCATTCAAAAAGTTGTCTTTTTCTCTTCTTTTGCGGATGCGGGTAAAGTTGATCCTCCCGGGAACACAAGAAAGATCTTGTTTCTCCTAGTTTTAGAAATGAGACGCATTTCTCGCCCTCCAACGACCTGATTCCTTTACCAAGGCCTACCTCCTGTTTTTATATTTTTTTGCATCTTACATATACCCATGTTAATGAAATGAGGTCAACGGTTTTATGAAGACAAGTGTATGCATGCTTATAAGTTAGCCGTAATAATCGTAACCCTTTTCTACTGATGCAATCATGGTGTACAATGCTCTAAATCCTAAGGTCCATATGGATACCTCACATTCTCTCTCTGGAGTAAAATGGAAATCTGGGCTCTTATCAAGTTGCCGTGGGCTAGCCGCCGTTGAGGAACTATATTTGTTCAATCCGCAGGGGAAGAAAAAAATCCATGAAAAAGAAACAAAATTATGGAAAGGGGGAGAGAGAGAATATTAATAACAATTAACCCATGGCCCGTTGTTTCCCCCATTGTTTATGCCTATACCCTCATCATATACGCATTGAGAATCAAAAAAGAAAGAAGGAGAGAAAAGACCATGCGGAAAATATGTCGAGAAATTGAATAGTGAACTGAATGGGTATTTCATAAAACAAGCTGGAGAACGGAACATGTTAGGGGATGGAGAGAGATAGTGTATATCCGAGTAGAATTGACGGATAGACTAATGCGAAGGAGGTGGTCTTGACAAGCCTTGTCTTGCCTACATTTTTGCGTTAGTTACTATATAGGTAAGGAACAATGTATAAAGGAACATGATATCAAGCTTACCTTCATCTGCTCTATTCTAGCCTTCAACTGGCTTGTCACTTCCGCGGCTCTCTTCCAATTTTCTGATGGTTCGATTGATACGGATCCATCGCCTGTAGGTGTTCTCGAAGTCCTTGCCGGGCTACCCCTGCCTGAAGAGTATGCAGACCCAGCTGGTGGGCTAAACTTTCTGCGGCTTGAGAACCCAGCGCTCAAAGCTGGAGAAACCATACCTGTGTTCTCCTTTTCTTCACTCGGGCTTGATGAGACAAAGCTTCTTGGCCGCGCGCTTTCGAATCTAGATCCCATGTGAAGGCTGGCCCGAGAGGGAGTCCCGTTGATACGATGCATATCATCTTGGTAGATGCCTGCATTATCGCTGATGCCCATATTGAGGCTCATGTCAGGTATAGTCATTGGCGGACTGGATGCTCCCGCTCTCATAGCACGCGAAAGCTCTCGTTTCAGCCTCTCGATCTCTCGCTGCTGCTTTTGAACGCTTTGTTCTGCGGTCTCTGCATCACCTCGTGCTCGAACTAGTTGAGTTTCTTTAGCCTTGATGCTTAACACATCTCGTGTATGGTCTTCTATCAGCTGAGCGTTTTGATTTTGAAGTTCATGGACTTCAGACGATAGTCTTGATCGCTCTGCTCGTAGATCTTCAGTCAACTTAGATAGTCTTGCATTTTCTGCTCGAAGTTCTTCCAGTTCGGCTCTTTCAATAGCAGATAAACCAGTGGGAACTTGGGCAATTGGTTGCTCTTGGACAGGCGCACTTGGTTTGCCTATCGGGCGACCAGCTAGGCCTCTGCCACCACCGCCAATTCCAAATTTAGGAGGTGGTGGAGGAAGCGCCGCTGGGTCCTCCATTGGAGGTGATACCACGCGACGCTGTGGTGAAGCAGCACCACCCGGTCCGCCCAGTTTGGCTTTCAATTTCAATCCGGATCCGGGAGTAGCTAGGCCACGAGGGGCTCCTATCTTGGGGACAGCCTTCTTCGCAGGTGCTGGTGACGCGGGAGGTTCGCTTGGGGCGGCGGCGGCGGAAGGAGCAGGTTTCTTAGCACCCAGTGGCTTCTTACCGATTGGTTTCTTTGCTGGCGTAGCGGTAGTTTTTGGTGGGCCTATGATGGGCTTTGGCCTATCCTTCGCTTTAACCTCTGCCGTTTCAAAGAACTCTTTGATCTTGGTCTTTCGAATGTCATCTAGTCCATCCAGATATGCGTTCATTGCGCGTTCACCCATAATCTTCATGAGAGTTCCCAATATTTCCGCACCTCCTGATCGAGTGACTTCGCTTGAATCTGTGAGGAGTTTCGTTCCTGCCTCAGCTATCGACTTGACTTCCGCCTTCGAAGGTACATCTCTGGTAGTTCGTAGACAGCGGACTAGGAACTTGAAGGTTTCCTGCTTCACCTGGGGATTCTTGTGCTTTAAGAACCCAAGGATGTCTTCCAGGCACTCGCTCAAGCTTGTGCACGAAAACACGGCATCTAATCCTTGGCCTAGTGCGGCTGATACGGCGGCCTTCTTCTCCTTCAGTCGTTCCAACATTGGCGGCATCACAACAGCGCGGTATTTGGCAAATGCCCGTCGAAGTCCAGTTGCGATCGCACAGATACAGTTCGCTGCGACTGTCACTACCAAGACATTCGCATCTTTCATGCATCTCCCAAGGTCACCACAGAGCTCGTCAAAATTTCCCTCTTTGATCTTTGGAACATTGACAACCTTGTATAGATCGTCCAGGGCGTCCTTCCGGTCCTTCCACTTGGATGATGCTAGGTTCTGGTGCAGGTCCTTTGGTGCCGCTGCTATTATGTCCACTGCTTCCACTAGATCATAGACATCGACTTCACCATCATCTTCTATACCCTCACCCTCCGCATCATCTCCATCTTCAGCGCCAGGATTTGCACTGGCTTCAGCCATGGCTGCTTGTTGTGTGCGGGTAAACCGTTCCTGCTTGGGAGGAGGGTCCTGCTTCACTTTTTCAAATTGTTTCTCTAGGTCCTGCTGTTGCACCGGTTTTAAGTCATTCCAGAAGGTGGCTTTAAGGGCTTCTTTGAGCCATCTGTAAAGCTCCACTGTCAAGTTCTGGGCCTCTCCTCTCACGTTCTTATCTGCATGGCTGAAAACTTTTGGCAGAGCTTTCAGAACCGGCTTTGTTTCAACCACTTTGATGCCATAGTTATGATACACAGCGGTAAGGGCTGCTAGAGCAGCAGCCACCACCTTTGGTGTCTTATGCGAGAGTGCAGCGACAAGCTCTTCAACAACTGGTTCCGGTTTATCAAGCTCGATAAAAAGCAACAGCGCTTCGAGTGCACTCGCTTTTGCAGCGGGGCGAGTCTGGGGAAGGCCCTTTTCGATTATAGGTGCGGCCGTAACAGTCCGTGTTCTAATAACCGTGATAGAATCAGTCAGTAACGCGTACTGTGTGTAGTCTCTATAGAGCCAACACACCTGTTGCAGGCCTGGTAGCCTGAATATTGTAAAAAGGAGCAATATGCAGCAAGGCCCTCCTGCTGAGCAGCAACGTTCGTATCCGCGACAACACCCTTCCAAATAGACGGATCTTGTAGGAACGGTCGAAACACTGGAGCGTCTTCATCTGGGGATATTTCAAATTGTTTTTTGGCCTCTTCGTAGCCCTCTTTCCGTACTTTCCATATCTAATGCAGAATTCGACCAGTGTCAATTGTTTGCTCTGTGTGCAGGGTGCCGCGTCAAAGCCCACCTTATGCGCAAATCTTTCCGTAAGAGGGAGAGAGGAGTAATCCTCTTGGTCGGCCATGGCTTCGCTTTGTGCAAGTATCTATGTGTATAAGGATGGTCTGGTTCAGCCTGTAAGGAATCATTCAGCTGTCAGTCAAGATAACACAAAAACGGGGGTATCCCCGGTGATGAACAGCCAGGAATGCCGCTAGCAACGTACTTTCAATATCAGCAACCGTAATACCCGTCAAGACGTGAAAAAAATGCGAGTGTCTATCTGCTTGGTGGGATGAAACTGGCGGTGCGCGGTGGTGAATGCCCGACGGTAGCGGGCGCCGCAGATAAACAAACAACTCTACGGATAAACAAGGATCGAGTCTCCGGTCTGGCAGCTCGTAAGGCGAGTAGAAATAGTGGAATCAATAGAAGAGAAAAGGACTGTCAGGCCATGGATGCTGCTGGCTTAATCAACCGTGAGTTGTAGTTTATAATCAAGGGAGAAGAAGGAGAAGAAAACAAAAAGGGTTGGTGGATGTGTGAATTTTCCTCTTTCGGTCGAGGCAGCAACAAGCATTTTGTGGTCCCTTTTTTTTTTTTTTGTATTTCTTTTATGCTGGCTTCAACCACCAACTTCGACTGCGACCTACAACAACAACAACAATCACACTATGACTTCAGCTACAAGTCTACAGGTCGACAGGTCGACAGGTCTACAAGTTTACGTTTGGATTTAATGAGATAAACACTAAACGCGTCTTCCATGGTTCGTGCTGAGGTACTGAGTTATTAGCTATATTATAGTTAAATAGCTCCGGGTTTGCCTTCGAAGCCACCAACCAAAGACAAAGCTGCGTATTATCGACTTAACTTCGCTCTGTGGCTATGATTGTGGAAGAAGCTCTCATTCATTATTCCCGGTGTTTCCCTGCTTCTTTGACCGGCCGGGTGGCTGGTATGCAGGGTATACTCACATTTACCGCAACCCCGAGACGGATTTGCCGTACAGCTTCATGAGGCTTCCTCTTCAGCAACAAAAGCGATAGACCCCTTCTTTTCCGGTCTCATGGCCTGGGAAGAGTTCCTTTATAAGGTTGTTATCCTAAAGTTATTGGATAAAGTCGATTGGAAGAAGTTTCTCTTTTCCTACCGTATTATTTACCCGTGCAAGCATGAGACGGATATGCCGTCCAGCCTCATGGAAGCTCGCTCCTCTTCGGCCACGAAGATCTCTGTTTGCATATCACTCAATATTGATATCAAACCGGCACTTCACTTGGCAGCAACCTGTAGCTATGTATTGCTCTAATCCTGCTTCAGATCTAGAGACTCATTGCAGATACCAATATATTGATGACGTTGAAAAGCTGGAAAGATATAAACCCGGCGGCTATCATCCGGTCCTCATTGGAGATGTACTTCATAGCCGTTATCAAGTTGTCCATGAGCTAGGATATGGGACGTATTCTACCGTTTGGCTTGCATATGACCAGCAAAGGGCAGCGTATTCTGTGGTCAAAATCTGTACTGCTGATGCACCGCTTCGAGAAGTCGAGATTCTACATCGGTTGACTAAATATCGGCCTAATACCCAACCTGGCTTGGCTATTCTTCCTACGATTCAGGATGACTTTGAGATCCAGGGCCCAAATGGCCGTCATCGATGCTACGTTAGTCAGACAGCCAGCTGCAGTGTAGCAGACGCGAAATTCTGCTGTTTTTTTAAGATTCCCGTTGCTCGTGCCGTTGTTGCGCAGATGATTTTGGCTGTTGAATATATCCATAGCCATGGATATGTTCACGCTGGTAAGCTTGCTCGTCTGGTCTATGTTTTAATCATCTGCGCTGACAGAAATGTCCTAGATCTTCATCTTAAGAATTTCCTTTTCCGCTTACCGTCTAGTTATGATAAGTTCTTGCCGGAACATATATACAACCGGTTCGGAGAACCTTGCAAGGCACCTGTTGTACGTCTTGATGGGGAACCTCTCCCCCCAAACGCTCCCATATACGGAGTCATACTAGCATGGCTAGGAAAACATGCAGACCACATTCTTCCTAACGAGGCAAACATTATGTTGGTGGATTTCGAGGAAGCCTTTAGCCCGGAAACTGATAGTCGTCCCGGTGAAGACAGCCACGTTCCCCTCGCCGTCTAGCCGCAGAAGTCCTCTTTGCTCTAGGGAAGAATCTCTCTTTCGCATCTGACGTCTGGGCTTTGGCCTGTGCAAGTTGGTCTATCTTTGGAATGCGGTCACTCTTTGATGGTACTCTGGCGACAAAAGATGATATAGCTTCACAGCAAATTGATACCCTCGGGATTTCGTCGCTGCCCCCAGAATGGTGGGCAGAATGGGATGCGCGACACGAATACTTTGACGAAGGAGGTCAGCTTCTTGGAAACCGCACTGTATTTCCGCCTCTTGAGCAAGCATTTGAAGAAGAGAACAATCTCTACGAAGGAACGAGGGGATTGACGTGTTCAGTGAAGAGGAGAAAATGGCTGTTCTGGCTATGCTTCGGTCGATGCTCGTTTTTTAGCCTGGGAAACGGGCTTCTGCGAGATCTTTGCTGACATCTGAATGGATGACGACGTGGGGACTACCAGGACTAAATTGTCTGCAGGACAATTGATCCGAGAAGGATGGTTTCCAAGATTCTACAATAATGTTAAGTACGAGAAGGAGTAGCTTGCCTACTGCGTATACATACCAGGTGGGTAAGACACGAGAGAAAGGGGGGGATAGATCTGAATGTTTCTTAGAAAGGAAGAGTAGAGGAATAAGGAGACTTTTAACACCAACAATCACCCTTTGGATAAAAGAACCCTGGAATAGGAGAACGAATAGAATTATAGGTAAGACATATGCACGGATATATAGTTTAGAAAGGGATGAGGGGAGGAGCCGGGAGAAAAGGGTCAATTTGAGGAACGGGGTAAAAGCTTCATATCGGGGGACATGATATCACATAAGTGGAGGAACGTTATGGGCAACGGATAGAACGTAGCGGGTGAGATGTGAGAAAAAAAGGGTAAACCAAAAAAGGCACTCAAAATGTAATTGAATCACTCGCAGGTATCGAGAGGCAGAGAAGAACGAGGGAAGAAGAAAGGGTTGGCTTGGTCGACGTGTCTATAAGGGCCGGAATAAGTAATAATGGTCTTCCAACGTCGTCGTATCGCCGAAATCGACTTGGTGAAGGTTCCGCTGATCCTACAGCCGCAAGAGTCAAACCAGGCAGGCATACAAGACCACCATATTGATAAATGAGAAAGAAAAAGGGATGAAAGGGGTAAAGACAAAAGAAATTTGTTGGCTGCGTGTGTGAATGGATGATGAGGGAATCATAGGTCAATGAGGTTGTTGCTGCCCTGTTGGTTTGGACGTGCAAAGCTCTGTTGAGAGCCAAAGCCGGCGTTGCTCTGTTGCTGGGGTGCACCAGTGAAGTTTTGGGCTAGGAAAGGGTTGTTGCCGGTCCTTGAGGCTTGAATGTGATTAAGGCCGGATCCAGCGGAGTTGACGAAGACACCCGGTGCGGTATGTTGGGCGGGGATACGTAGATCGCCGACGTTACCAAAGGTGTCTTGGCCGTCGCCGGTGGCGAGGAGCGCGTTAAGGCGGGCATGCTGTGGGTTTTGATTGATTTGTTGCTGGTTGTTCATGGGCTGGAATTGTTGTTGTTGCTGCTGCTGCTGCTGTGGCTGAGGTGTCTGGTAGTTCATAATGGGGTTGTTAAACTGGGTTGCCGTTTTCTGCTCTGCAAGAGCGTTAAGAGACGGCGGTCCGGTCTTCTGTACTTGAGATTGCTGGGCTTGGGCGCGTGTGAAGGATGATGCGAATGGATTGTTGGATCCGGTTGGTGCTGGCTTCAAGGCCTCTGCCGTCTTTTGCTGATTCATAGCCCATGGATTATGGGAGCCAGGCTGAAGGAAGTTGTCCTGCTGCTGGGGTTGCATCTGAGGTTGCATCTGGGGTTGCATCTGTGGTTGTTGTTGTTGTTGTTGCTGGCCAAACAAATCATTTCCGTACGGGTTACCGGTAAAGGCAGTTTGTTGCGGCTGTAGAGTAGGCTGAGGCTGTAGGAAATTTTGCTGATCAAAACCGGTTGGTTGTTGTTGGAAGCCATTGGGAAAGCCATTGTTGAAGCCAGTCTGCTGGGGCTGGAACCCAGTAGGCTGTGCATATTGGTTGTTCAAAAATCCTGTGGACATTGGTTGCTGGGGGTCAACTGGGTTGCCAAACCAGTCCACGGCACCCTGCTGCTGGTAACCCTGGTTGTAGCCGGTGGGCTGTGGCTGAGCTGGCTGAGGAGTCGAGTCGTCAAAGAGAGATGCAGCATTGCTTTCCTCAAGCTCCCGTTTTCTCAGTTCTTCTTCCTCTTTGCTGAGTTTGATGGCCTTGGCAAGCTCGTCATCCTCTATATCTCGGGAAGCATTCTTTTCTCGGCGTTTCTTATCTTCTTCTGCCTCATACTTGCTTGCCTCTATGGCCAGTCTGTATTCGGCGTCTTCGTCGTCGGTAGGGCGGTGAGGGCGCTCTCGTCGACGTTGGCGGTGTGTCATATCACCTCCCTCGATGCCTCGCATGCCGTCGTCCATGCCCGCGAATCGTGACTTCCATAGCTTTCTATCAGATCGTTCGCTCCTCAATCGCTCTTCATCAAGCAGCAGAGAAGTGAGCTCCTTCGCGGCAACCCGGACTAATAGCGTGGGTTAGCATAGGCACATAAAGGTTGGATATACGCAGAAACGTACCATTTTGGCCAACGTCACGCCCTTCCTCGTCAATATACTGAAATTCACGGAGAGTTTTGATAATGTAGAGGTTCTTCGTCGCCCAGGTCACTACCTGTTCTGAGCCTTCGTGAAGGCAGTAATCCACGACCTTGAGAGATTTCAAAACATGCCGCCAATTCTTTCCCTTGTCGTTTAACCGCTTATCCAGCATCTCCACGATTTCGTAGAATTCATTCGGGCTAATCCAGAGAATTGAATCAGTTACCATGCCGTTCAGAACGGTACAGTCTTTTGGCAAACACTGACCTGTTGAATGTTAGAGCGGCAATTTCGGCCATCTCTGTGCCCGTTGGGCCCCAAGGATCATTACTGGTGGCTGTAGAATAACTGTTAGTATCCCGTAGGTACAGGACATTAGCCAGACAGGTAGAAAGAACTCGTACCATTCCGGACCTTCACCTGTACTGCCGAATAGCCCTTGGTGACATTCTTCACGCTCCTCACAACCTTCGACATCCTGGCGTCGAAATGTCCGGTCCTTCTCGGGAACCGGCCGACGTGAAAAGGGAGAGTATAGCGGGACTGAGGGGAACCGTTCTATCGTGTATCTGAGAGTCCTCTGAACGTAACGACGTCGCTAGGAAGAAAAACAACTGGAGTGTTGCGTAGTGCGGGCGATGCGCTCGTGAGATGCGCACGCAGGGAGGACGAGTTAACTAGTTAAAACGGAGACGTTTGCGCCTTCAGTAAACCGGTCCAGTCCACTTTTCTTTTGTTTCGCATGGGAGTGTCAAAAGCAATGTTATCCTCTCCCTCCATGCACGGCACAGGCAACGAAGACGATGGTTTATCTGCCAGTGCAGTCCATGACGTCCGCTCGCGTAGATGGTCGTGGAGCAGATAAAATAGCTAAGTGAACTTACGTAGTCGGGCCACTGGAGGGAACTTGCCAAGCCGGAACCCGCTGAGTGACGGAGAACAAGGACGCAGGAGAAGATGTCTTTGCGGCAGCTACAGCAGAATAAAAGCAACAGAAGAGCGTAAGAAGAAGACGAGGCAGACGAAGACGAAGACGAAGAAAAAGTCTTTATTTAATGAAGAAGTCGAAAAAGCCGAAGTTGGTGAATATTTTTTGCCTTTTGGTCGTTGAAGCCGCGGAAGAAGCAGAAAAGTGGCTGAGTTGGTTAGGCGGGGTGCTGACTAAGCTGTCCAGCCACACCATATATAAACCATAGACATCTATGAAGATAGGGGTCGGATAGGGGTAGAGGAGGATGAAGATAAGGTGGATAGGATAGATAGGTCGGATAGGGTAGATGATGCAGATAGATAAAGATGCAGGGAGGATGGAGATATGTAGATATGTAGATAGATCTAGTCGGGTTGCACTATTTACCTGCGGACTCCTTCTCCAGGGCGAGATACAGCTCCTCTGCCCCCTTTATACACTGGACGTTTGCGCCCAGCTTGTTTAGGGTCTCGACATACTCATCATAAGGATCAGAGTCAAAGACGATGCCGCCGCCGGCCTGGAGATAGGCAACGCTGTCCTTCAGAACCATCGTCCGCAGCGCAATGCAGGTGTCCATGGCACCGTCGATAATCTCCTTTCCGTCTAGGCTGCTGCGGTTGTATCCAAAGTACCCGACAGCTCCAGCATAGACACCACGTTTCTCACCCTCCAGCTCGGCGATCAGCTGCATGGCTCGTACCTTGGGTGCGCCGCTGACCGTGCCAGCTGGGAATATAGACCGGAATGCGTCGAATCTGGTCTTCTCTGGCCGCAGGACACCGGAGACCTGAGAGACCAGGTGCTGGACGTGGGAGAACTTCTCGACGACCATCAGCCGGTCGACCTGGGTGGTTGCTGGGTCGCAGACACGGTTGACGTCGTTCCTGGCCAGGTCGACTAGCATGACATGCTCAGCACGGTCCTTTAGGCTGTTGCGCAGCTCTTCCGCAAGGCTCTCGTCTTCCTCGGGGGTTTTGCCTCTTGGAACAGTGCCAGCAATGGGGTGGGTGATGATTCTGTCTGCTTCCTTCTTGACCAGCAGTTCGGGACTGGCACCGACAATCTGGAAGTCGGCGCAGTCGATGTAAAATAGGTATGGAGACGGGTTCACAGATCTCAGGTGTCTGAACAGGTTAAATGGATGAAGAGTGGTAGGCCGTGTAAGTCGCTGAGATGGCACAGTTTGGAAGATGTCACCTTTCCCAATGTGCTCCTTTAGTCTGTGGACGTGGCCTTCGTACCCTGCCTGGCCGATGTTCGAAGTGTAAACCTGGTCAGGCTTGATCGGAGGCTGTGGAGGCATGGGCACCTTGGGATCTAGCAGTTTTTGAATCATCTTCTGGAGTACCAGCTCGGCTTCCCCGTAGGATCTCTCTATTTCTGTGTCGTCCTCTGGTACACGGAGATACGTTATCACTTTGATAACCTGGAAGAAGTGGTCAAATGCAACGATAGTGTCGAACAGCATAAATAGCGACTCGGGTATGCCTAGTATATCCTTCATGGGGCGTGCAGTCTTGGGTTCAAAGTACCTCACGCAGTCGTATCCAACGTATCCAATCGCTCCTCCGGTAAGCGGTGGCAGCTTCAGTCCAGGAACAGTCGCAACACGGCACTGAGAGATTTCCTTCTCAAGCAGCGGTAGAGGGTCACATTCCGGCCCATGACCAGGTCCAGATACAAGCACATCCTTGGGGTCTAGACATCACCACGCATTAGCCATGTATTCACCCACGGTGGGATATTAAATACGTACCCGCTCCAACGAAGCTGTATCTGCCGATCGTCTCTGTCGTCGCCGCACTCTCGTAAAGGAATGACCGTTTCGAGCTTGAAAAGTATGCTATTAGCCCTCAATTGTATAACCAGAGGTCACAGACTGCCCGATCGAACTCACTCTGCTGAGATCTTAAGGTATGCGACTGTGGGAGTCAGAAGGTCTGCAGGTATCGACGCCGTCACCGGGACCATGTTCGGCGGGTTCGCGGACCCCCTTGACTGCGCCAGGACATCCTTCACAGCGTCAAGAGACGGTTGAGCAGTAACCTATACACCCTCATTAATCGTCCTTTTCCTTTGCCAGGCAGATACACAGTCACTCCAGCTACTTCAGCCATAGCGTCGTCACTAGCTAGCCGTGGGGCTTGGAAGGGCATTATATATGTACATACCCTTGGAGCCATCGCGAAAAAGCGCAGCGGAACTTTTCTTCTTAAATAGCTATTCTTCGGCTTCCCTAACAGCTTCAGGCGACTCTGACGCAGGATGTTCTACAGCAAAGGAAATTGAATCGCGGGCTGGAGGGGAAAAGAGAAGCCTGCGAAGACCAAATTATTGAGACCTGCGCGGGATTCTAACCACGACTAATCCAAACTATGGCTCCCTCTTGTCGCTCACTGACTAACGTAGCTGACTAGTTTAGCTGGGACCAGCCCTAGAGAGGAGCCAAAGCTATAAATACAACACGGCGGCGGCCACTCACCGAGCGAGAACCCTCGTACAGCTTTAGTGGCATCGTCCGATCTTTGAGCTTCTTGTCGCTTGGTGCATATATCAGAAATATTGAATTATATATCATTGGTTGCTTGATTTACACGACAGAAAAACGGTTGAAAGTCAAACTCTCACTCGGGAGAAGTGAACAATTCGACAGGAAAAGGGACAAAAGAAAAAAAATTTACATATGCAAGACAGGGTAATCTAAGCCAACGCTTTATTCTCTCTTCTCTCTCCCTCTCTTTCTCTCTCTCTCTCTTTGCCAATGTTGCCGAAGGCTGGAGGCGTAGAGAAGGGACCAGGTTGCATCGAACAGGGACCAGGGTTGGATGTTGGCGAGATACGAGAGAACTTGCGACTCCTGCTGGATCTTAGCTCACAGCTTCCATCTGAGACAGTTCTTTCGCCAGACGATTCCACAGTCTTTCGCGACTCTTGCTCGGCGCTGGAGAAGGTGTTGACCGCGCCCACACGGGGGTACGATGACACACTATATCGATCCTCAGATAGAGTGGATTCACTAGAAGACGTTGCTGCAGACCATCGCGAAGAAACCGCACATCCAGGAAACAAGAGGGAAGAAGCTCGTCAATATGGCCGTGAACTTTCATTGGTACTGAACCGTCTGACAAAAGCAAACGAGGATTTCCGGCAGCGGAGAGTCGAGCAGCGTCAAATCCACGACCAATACCAAATCAGAAGCGAAGAGTTTTCGGCCCGGGTCTCTGAGCTGGAGGATGAAGTGAAATCGCTGTATGTCCATATTGATGCTCTCTTGTCCGTCCCTATTCTCTGTCTAGTTTTCAAGCTGACGATAAAGCCAGTCACGATGAGGTGTTTAACATCACCATCGAACTGGAGTGTATGCGTGGCACTGTCTCTGGACTTGACTCCTGGTTAAGTCACTGGAAGAACCAAAACAATAGTGACGGCCATTTAAACTCCGTTTTGAAAAGGCCAGCTAAACCGCGAGGCAAGAGCTCAAAGTACTTTGAGCAGCTGGACAGGCTCCAAGAGCAGAGAGATGGCCTGATAGACGGGATAACCGCCTGGATGCGAGGATGGAACGACGCAACAGACGGATTTCAGGCTCGCTCAACGAGCTAGGGCTGGCAGTGCCTTGCACCACCCTCTAAGCTTCTCTCTCTCTCACCCTCTCTTCCCCTCCTTTGTGTTGTATACCAATAGTGTAATATTAATTATCGTCCGTCAGATGTCGACGGATAGGAGAGGGGGAAGGTCAAACGGAGTTAAACGGGTTGTCAATGTATATATTAAAGGTCGGGGACTCCTGTTTATAAAAAGTAAGGTTGATATTATCGTTGAAGGTTAATTATTGCAATCTGCACGTTGACCGTTAGTAGGATGAAAATCATAATTAGGGGAGATAAGTCAGCCCATACCGTGTTCCCGAAACCAAGAGCCAACTTCTTTCCGTCACCATCCCACGAAAGCGGGCGATCGAGGGCAGATTGGATGCCGTTAGTATTGCCACTAGTTTCATCTGGGCTGGATTCATCCTTTGACCCATCTTTGGGAATAGGCCAGCTTGCCATTGGTGTACCTCCCCGTTCGGCGTTCCAAATGAATAGCTTATCCTGACTGGCTGCTGCTATAGCATAACCATCTGGTGAAAATGCGGATGATAGTGCTGGTAATGAAGGTCCAAGGAAGAGCCGGTGGACACAACTGGCAGTTTTCGAAGTGCAGTCAATGCTCCAAATCTTTAAAGTCTCATCCATGGAGGAAGTAGCCAATATTAGCGCAGGATCCTTTCCAGTCCCATTGACGAGAGCTTGGGGACCGGAGTGAGGCTTTGGTAGCGGTCTGAATTCTAGAGATGTAATTATTCCATGATGTGCTGATTCAACTTTTATGTCGTGACTAGGTATCCAGATATTGGATGTCGTAGCGGACGTCGATACGGTAGCAACCACACTCGATTCCTTCCACTGCGTCGACTTGATCAGCGTCCATGGTTCCTGAGCATATTCATCCCAACGGAAGGTTTCGGATAATTCAATCTCGTTCGTGATGCGGAATTGGTATACAGCTCCATCTCCACAGGCGTATACCTCTTCATCTTCAACCCACAGAACCTCATATATAGCACCATCAATAATCTGGCTATTGATATACTCTGTAGCCGATATCTCCTTGTCCCACATTAACAGCTTAGATTGGCTGCCATCCGATACAGTGAAGATAATGCGGTCTCCGTTTCCAGACCATCTTAGTCCAGATATCAAGCCCGGCATGCAAGGTAGGGATTTCACCATCTTTCCCTGTGGGCTATAAAGAACAACAGTGCCCTCAAAATCGGAGTACGTCGCAACAGCTAGTGTTTTACCTGATGGTCCCCACTCCATGGCGGTAACATTTGCTGTACTGGTTAGTACTTCATGCCCTGGTGCAGTCGATGAGCGTTGTCCTGTTAGTTTCCAAAGCCCGCAATATGACTCTGCACTAGCTCCAAACAAAAGTGAATCACCAGGCCGCCAGGCCGTCTTCATCACATGGTTTTTGGCACCAATATCTAGCAAAACGGCGTTAGTTGTCAAATCGATGGCCTTTGGAGGTGCGATTTGAACTCCAACACTCTGCCCGTTTGTTAACGTGTAAACGGGAGTGGGCGGTGCAGACATGCCGATGTCCCCATCAGCGTCGATCCCTGGTTCAACTGTGGGCGATGACGGCCGTGAGGGTGATTTCGGGGTCTTAGAGGGTGTCTCCTCAGGCTGTTGCTTGTCAACTGCCATGGGTGCGTCGGATGTCATTACCGTATCGCCGTCTTCATGATCATCTCCATCGCCGGTTTTACTGGCAGCTGAATCACCTTGAATGTGTCCATTGGCCCAAGCTTCTTGACCAGTTTTTCGAGAACCAGCAGTCTTTGGTGATGAGGGAATGGAATCTCCATCACCAGCAGCGATCCCGTTAGCCACGCCTTGTTTGTCTGCTGCCTGAGGCGAACCGGGCTTGTCCAAAAGAGGCCCAAAAAAAGGCGCTGGTACTTCGGGTATTATGTTTCCATTCTTGGTATATCTGTAAGTACTTGATGGTCGCCACCGCTCTCTGTACCACATAGGGATGAACTTACCGGGTCTACTGATCGTTCAAGGTCGTGATATTGAAGACCCTTTTGTACTAATGATACAAGAGCGTGTGATTGTATGTAGGGAGCAAATGGCAGGTTTTGTGGATTAGGATTCCATGCCCGTTGGAGCATGACAGCTGCTTCTCCATGGCCTAGAACGAGGGTTTAGCTTAGCTACGAACATCCACCGAGACGGCGATTTCATGTTCAAACAAACCTGATTCTTGCAGATACCTATAGGATATCAAGAATGTCAGCACTGCAAACTGTCGTCGTTTACACGCGACGGCGTACGTAACGTCGCGCGGAAAGTGACAAAACATGAAGCCAAAGAAAGGTAGTACCGACCTCCATATTAAATAATTTACATGGTGAGAAGTGAGCGCGCCACCCGCCATGGCGATTATTCATATACCACGGTGAGGTCAATGTTCAGATATTCCAGATTAATATGGATGCTGACCATATCACAAATAGAAGCTCGGAGCGCAAGAATGCTGAAAGAAAAGGAAAAAAAGGAATTGGGCGAGCGAAGATGCAAGCAGGGAATGCGAAAAACTGCCGCCGCTAAAAAGAGCGAGATGCTCCGAACTTAGGTCGAGGCCCTTCCAAACCCTACCAGAAACTGGGGAAGCTGTCGGTCGAGCTGGTGAAGGAGGCTGGACTGTGTTGTCAGACTGTTTGTCTGTCTGTCTGGGCAAGAAAAAGTGGTGTGCGCGGTCAAAAAGGGCGGCAGACAGAAGAAGCGTTGCGGAAGCAAGGTTTTTGCTGATCCCAAAGGCGGAAATGTTCGAAGCAGGAAGTAAAATCGGGACAAGTTTCGATGCCAACGCGGAGAGGCAAGGATTCAACCATTCACAAATGCTGATTTGTGGAGGGTTGATCACGAAGCTGCTTGCTGGGCCTCAAGGTTGCGCAGTGGTTTTTCCTCTGGTGGAGCTCTCAAGCCCTACCAGCTGGTCTGGCCGTCTTGCGCAAACTCGGGATCTCGTCGGGAAGGAAGAGCCTGCAAGTGCTGAAGCGCCCCAGGACGGTTGAGGTGTGTTGTCTTACGAGCCGGAGAATATGATCATGCGCTGCGACTGCGCTGGGAGATTCGGGATGGAGAAATACAGCGGCAGTTCGCAGTTTGAGCGCGGCTTGGCGCAGCAGTGGCGGCTTGAGCCCCTGCTTAGATAAGCGCCAGGGGACGAGTGAGCTCAGAGACGTGTTTTCCCCTAGGATCGCGGTGTGTTGACAGCTGTAGACAGTGTAGCGGTGGAGTGAGTATGGTAAGATACGAGAGTGAGGAAGCTGAAGAAGAAGAAGAAGAAGAAGAAGAAGAAGAAGTTGAAGTCGAAGTTGAGGTTGAAAGGAAAAAGAAAAAGATGAGGTTGAAATGTCCGAATTAGGCACGGGCGGATTTATGCATCACGTGACCGGTATAAGGCCCAAAAATGTTTATGCCTTTTGAAGATCAAGATAGACGAACAGAAAAGAAAGAGCAGCAGAAGAACAAGAGAAGGAAACGAAGAAGCAGAAGAAGAAGATAGAAGGAGAGAGGATAAGACGGACGAGGTGACCAGACTGTCCATTCTCATGCCGTACGCCGCGAGCAGGCCATCAAACCCCATATTCTGCTCTACACACGGCCGGCCTTTGTGTCCATGACCACCATGCTTCGAATCAACATCCCCCCCGTCACCCGCGCGATCCTCACAAGCATAGCAGTGCTGTTCATTCTACATACGGCGACAAGATACAAACACTATGCTGCTGGTAAATCGTCGTCCTCTGTTGCTGCGGTGCCGTACTTCCTGGCCGTTCCGTCAAAAGTCCTCTTCTATCCATGGACGCTTCTATGCGCAACCTTTGTGGAACAGAATATTGTCACTCTCCTGATTAACGGAGCAACGATATTTTACGGAGGGAAATATTTAGAACGAGCCTGGGGCTCGAGGGAGTTTGGGAAATTCATTCTGGTGCTTGCACTGGCCTCGAATTTGTCCATGGTGTTTCTCTATCTGGCCACGTCCGCAATTCGCGGCAAGCCTGAGATTGCGTATGTAATTTTTTTCGGTGTTTTCGAACCTTTTGAGTCTTTCTTTAATAGTATTTTATAACAAGCTAACTTTCTAATTTTTCGTTTTTAGTATGAAAGGAATCGGCGGGGGAATTGCCGTACAGTCGTCGTTTCTTGTTGCTTTTAAGCAGCTAGTCCCCGAACATACAGTCACCATCCTCCGTGGCCTCGTTAAGATACGAGTCAAGCATTTCCCAGCTATATTCCTCCTTCTCAATCTTATCGGTGCTCTTTTTCTCGGGACGGATGTTGCATTCCATCTCAGCTGGCTTGGGCTACTCATTAGTTGGACATTCCTCCGATTCTTCAAATACCAGCCTGATCTCTCGGGTACCTCCACCAGTGGCCGGGGAATTAAAGGCGATGCTAGCGATACTTTTGCTTTTGCATGCTTTTTCCCAGATGCACTCCAGCCACCTATCAACTTTGTTGCTGAGCAAGTATTCGCTATTCTGGTAGCGATCCGTATCTGCACTCCATTCTCAGCGGAAGACGTTGCTTCTGGGAATGAACAAGTATTGGCGCGTGGAGAAGCTGGTCTTCCGAGTCTGTTGAACAATAATGTCCGTGGGACACCTAGGTCTGGAAAGAGGGAAGAAGCTGAACGACGGAGAGCCCTCGCACTTAAGGCCTTAGATCAGAGGCTACAGTCTGCAAGCTCAAACAGAGCAGCACAGCAGCCTGCGGCGTCTTCTACACCATCATCCCAAACTTCAGCTCCTGCTGCAACTCCCACGGCACCGGTAGTTCCCGCTGGTGAAACAATGTTAGGTGAAACCAATTATACCCCTGACCGCGCCTAATGGTCCTCACAAGTACCTCCTACCACACATATGCCATGAACTCACTAATGAAACACTCTGCATTGAGAATACCTATTTTGATTTTTGGTGCCATTACCACTATAAACCACCCATCTATTCACCCCCATTCAGCTACCCCTCATATTGCATGCCCCTTTCCCCATCGCATATACCTTGGGCTAGGCTATACTTTGTACATTGTGTTAAATTTTTTTTTTCGCCTTTTAATTGCGCTTTTGCAAAGTTGCAGCTGGATGTTAGGATTTCCCGCTTGTTTCTCCTCCCTTTTTTCTTCCCTAGAAGTTTTAACTTATTTCATTCCCCAATACAAGTTCCGCTGGAAGCACTTGTACATTACTGCCAAAATCGGCCCAGTGTCTGAGTTATGCGTTTCTATCAAGGCAGTCCGATATGCCAAGTTCTAATATACAAACCAAGAAGGAAAACCAACTAACTCCTTGCCAGCATCGATCACTCCCGTGGCAACATTCAGCAATCTCCCTTTTCGGAAGTACTGATGTGAATAAAGTGAAAAGGAGTAAATCAACATGTAAATTACAGGATAAAGAGGGAATAGGAAAGGAAATCGGGGTTCATGTAGCTCATTACTCTTCCCTCTGTTTGGCAACTGCTGCCTTTGCAGCCTCCAACATGGCTTCCTGGTCCTTTCTCGCTTTGCGAACCATGGCCACCCGCTGTCGGTCGATCTCACTCTGAGCATTCAATTGCGCTTGTAGTTCCATCTCTTTCTTATCCTCTTCGTCTATTGGGACATTCTCAGCCTTGGTTACTGATTTGAAGGTCGCCCATATCTGTTCAACGTCCTTGCCTTTCACATCAATGACCTTAACAGTCTCCGATTCTGTGGGGGGTGGAGCATAGCTATCGAGAGTCCCTGTTGTTGCCGCGGCTGCTCCATCAGCAGGTTTGGCAGAGTATATGGATAATATGGCAGGTCCAGCTTCGTCGTCTAGTTGTTTAACCGTCATTCCCACACCGGGGTTGTAGTATTTTAATCGGGGTAGACATAAGCGCCAAAATTTCCGGGCACCATGGTGACCTTCGTGCATGTTCTTGTAATATGTGAGATGGAGACGGGTTACTTGAGGTATGGTCGAAGTTCCATTGGCTGATTGAGAGGGTAAAACTGCAGCTCCAAGACCGACTCTGATATGTAGAAGCTGCCCATCACAACCATTAGAGATTAGCTTCCGTTTCAATTGACATTATACCGCGAAGAATTCGTCGAATTTCATGGCACAACATCTAAAGCATATTCACATACCCTCTGAAGGGATGGCGTTAAGGTCAGTATATCATCTAAATTCAAGACGGGAAAAAAAACGTACAGCTTTCAAGGCTCTCATTCTCCGAAGAATTGAAACCATTGTGATAGGTTAGAGCAGGAATCCTCCCGCAACTGCGATTTCCGTATGTCACCAAACAAATAATAATGAACAAGAAGAGTAACGAAAAGATCTCTTGTTTTCTGCCTCGCTTCTCTTTCTGTCGTTCAAATCGTTCGAGCTTCGACCTGGAGAATTTTGGGATATACGGAAGAAATAAATGCCGATACCGATAGAGAAATAGAGCACGTGACTCTCTAATTTCTGAGTCATCATTTCTGATAAGAAAACCCCCACGTATAATCATCGTGTCAATTTCGGTAGAAGAGAAGAACTACAAGGTTGAGAAGCTGAAATTGAAGGTATCTCTATATCTTCGCCAGCATGGCCGCCTCTGTCTCCGCGGCTGCCGCTGCTGCGCTTGACAGCTCGAAAAACACATTAAAACTCGAGAATGTGAGCGCAACAATCCTTGCATTCCCCCGCTTTGCCCAATAATTGACTATAGGTATTGACCAATACTGTAGACAGAGAAAAGAGATACACTTATTGCTCTTGAGAAAAAATATCAGGCATTATGGAAGGAGAAAAAGGTCTTCGAGGTGGACGCTCCATCTCTCTCGGAAATCCCTGCGCAAAGCATGTCTTCGGCTGAGCTCCAAGAGAAGCACCCAAAGTTCTTTGGAACCATGGCCTTCCCCTATATGAATGGAACTCCCCATGCCGGACACAGTTTCACAGCGAGTAAGGTCGAGTTTATGACTGGAGTTGCGCGATTGGAAGGAAAACGGGCTTTGTTTCCCCTTGGATTCCATTGTACTGGTATGCCCATTAGGGCGTGTGCAGACAAGCTGGTGGACGACATCAAGAAATTCGGCAAAAATTTCGAGAATTATAAGGAAGAGGATGAGGCTGATGCTGTGCCTGCCCCAACCCAAGAGATCGCTAAAGAGGACTTGTCGAAATTCTCTGGTAAAAAGAGCAAAGCGGCCAGCAAAGCTGTTAAGTTGAAATACCAATTCCAAATCATGATGGCTTTAGGTATACCCCTTGAGGAAGTTCACAAATTCGCTGATCCAGAGCATTGGCTTCAGCATTTCCCACCTCTATGGATAAGAGATCTCGACAGTATGGGTGCAAGAGTAGACTGGCGAAGACAGATGGTAACAACCGATGTCAACCCCTATTTTGATTCATTTGTTCACTGGCAGATGATCCGTCTCCACGAAATGGGAAAAATTCTATATGGAAGTCGGTACACAATTTACTCACCAAAGGATGGCCAGCCTTGTATGGACCACGATAGACTTGATGGGGAGGGTGTTGGGCCTCAGGAATATACGGCAATGAAATTGAAGGTCAAAGAGTGGTCTCCGAAAGCAAAGGAGATCGTCCAAAGCAAAATTGAAGAGGATGCAAATGTTTACTTTGTCCCTGCAACATTGCGGCCGGAGACCATGTATGGACAGACTTGCTGTTTCGTGGGTCCTGCCATTTCATATGGTCTTTTTAAGGTCAAGGAGAAGGAATATTATGTTGTTACGAAGAGAGCAGCCTGGAATATGGCATTCCAAGGAATTTTCTTTGATGTTAATAACCTCCCCAAGTCCCAGGATGAGTTGCCCCCAGTCGTTGAGGCCCCTGGTTCCGCACTCATCGGTACTCTTGTTGATGCTCCACTTTCCTTCCACAAAGAAGGCGTTAGAATTCTTCCCATGGAGACTGTGTCCGCTAGCAAAGGAACTGGTGTTGTTAGCTGTGTACCATCTGACAGCCCTGATGACTTTGCAACCATTTCGGATCTCGCAAAGAAAGCCGATTATTATGGCATCCAAAAGGAGTGGGCAGAGCTTGAAATCCACCCGCTTATTGAAACGCCGACTTACGGTAACCTCACAGCTCCAGCTCTAGTGAAGCAGCTTAAGATAAACTCGCCAAAGGATACCGTCCAGCTTGCTCAAGCCAAGGATCTAGCATATACTGAGGGCTTCTACAAGGGTAAAATGCTTGTTGGTGAATTCAAGGGAGAACCCGTTCAAACTGCCAAGGAGAAGGTCCGCAATTCTCTTATCAAGAGTGGTGACGCCTTTCCATTCGCTGACCCCATGGGCAAAGTTACGAGCAGAAGTGGTGATGATTGTGTTGTTGCATACCTTGGCCAATGGTTCCTCAATTATGGTGAAAATGACCCCGAATGGCAGAGCACTACGCTCAAATATGTCACAGATGACTTGAATACTTACTCGGAAGAAACAAGGCACGGTTTCGAAAAGAACCTTGACTGGCTCAACCGCTGGGCTTGCGCCAGAACTTACGGGTTGGGATCGAAACTCCCCTGGGACCCGCAGTTCCTTGTTGAGAGTTTGAGTGACAGTACCATATATCAGTGCTATTACACTATCTCTCACCTTCTTCACGCAGACAGATACGGAAAGGAACCCGGCAAGCTCGGCATCAAGCCTGAGCAAATCACCAATGATATTTGGGATTATATCTTTGCCAGGCGTGATCTTGATGATGATCTAGCCCAAAAGAGTGGAATCAGCAAGGAATCTCTTTTGACTTTAAGACGGGAATTTGAATATTGGTACCCACTCGATGTTCGAATTTCTGGAAAGGATCTCATCCAAAACCATCTTACCTTCTTCCTCTACGTCCACATTGCTCTATTCCCACGAGAATACTGGCCTCGTGGCGTGCGAGCCAACGGACATCTTCTTCTTAATGGAGAAAAGATGAGTAAGAGTACTGGAAACTTTTTAACTCTCAGGGATGCCGTTGATAAGTACGGTGCGGATGCCACCCGTATCGCTTTTGCAGACGCTGGTGATGCCATTGAGGATGCCAACTTTGATGAAACTGTGGCCAACAGCAATATTCTCCGTATGTATACTCTCAAAGAATGGATTGAGGAGACCGTTGCAGACAAGTCTCTCCGCACTGGACCTACAGATGCATTCTTGGACAAAGTGTTTGATAATGAAATGAACGCGCTTGCTAGGGAGGCAAGAAAGCACTATGTCGAGTAAGTTTTGAAATTGGCCCTTTTTGCCAACTTGAAAATGCTAACTAATCTGCCTAGCACCAATTTCAAACTAGCTTTGAAGTCTGCTCTGTATGACTTCACTAGCGCAAAGGACTTTTACCGTGAGGTGGCCACCGCTTCTGGTATTGGTATGCACCGTGATCTGATTCTTCGATATGTCGAGTTGCAAGCACTCTTGATAAGTCCAGTTGCGCCTCATTGGGCAGAGCACATGTGGCTCGATGTTCTAAAGAAGGTATGTCTACCAATATTTACCAATGTTTGACAAATATTTGACAATTTACATGACTAACGTTACAACAGCCGGACTCCATCCAAAATGCCCGCTTTGCCGATGTTCCAGAGCCTTCCCCTGGCCTGTCATCAGCTCTTACCTATATCCGCTCTACAACTTCGAACATCACTTCCTCGGAGGCAGCCTTCATTAAGAGAATTTCCAAGGGCAAAAACGTTAAGTTTGACCCCCGAAACCCTAAGAAGATTACAATCTTTGTCTCTAGGAAGTTCCCGGCATGGCAAGATAAATACATTGAGCTTGTCCGTGAAGCTTTTGATGCTGTCCACTTAACCATTGATGACAAGGGACTCAATGGCAAGGTTGGCAAGCTCGGTGAGATGAAGAAAGCTATGCCATATGTCCAAACCTTGAAGAAACGTCTGATCCAAGGCAGGGAAAAGCCAGAAGATGTTTTCAGCCGAGAAATGCCCTTTGATGAGGTCCAAGTTCTTCATGACATTACTGGGAACCTGAAGAAGGTTACTGGGGCTAAGGAGGTTGAGATCATCGCTGTTGAAGAAGGTGGAAATGCAGGAACCAATTTCGAAGGAGTTAGGAAAGAAGACTTGTCCCCTGTTGCACAAAACGCGGTTCCTGGACAACCTAGCTTTAACTTCGAGAATATCGAGGCCGCCGCATGATGCATGAATTGTCATACAATGCAAGAATCCGAAACAAAGCAGCTTCTAGAAGCCGCGGGGTTTCTATAGATGCCCGGAAGATTTGATATGATAGACTAATGTAGAAGTGTGCTAAGACTTTGATAGCATTAGTTATACAAAAGAAAAAGAATATTATCATGATCCAAGTTTTACATGCCTTCCCAGAGTACTATGTAATGGTAAGATCGTCATAATAGCTATAGACTAGTATCAAAATATACATCCAAGTTAGAAGCAAGGTGTCAAAACGGCCAAGGTAACAATATCCCTTCCTTGAAGATACAGATCTTTCCCAAAGCTTTCCTATAAAAGCGAACTAACGAGAGCGGGAGATATCCCATACCCTTTTGATAAAGACGACAAACAACGCCATCGACACTAATATAACAGAAGAAACAAAGGAACATTAAACAGATACCTAGAAACACATAAGTCTAATCTGGAGAAGAGAAACCATCCCATGGTAAATTTTTTAGGATCCCACCCTTTCCGTCCTTCTGTAAATCGTGCCGACGATGACAGCGTCAAAAGACAAAAAAACGAGATTAATGGTAAAGAAAAAGATAAATGGGAGTCGGTATGTTCGATCACTGCAGCTGCAGCGAGAATCGTACTTATGAGCGACGTTCATTATTATCAATGGGACTCTTCAGAAGTTATCCGCTTGAAGTATGCTTTGGCCATTTCATAAGAAGTCCTGTAACATAATATCAGTTTCCAGATCTATCAAGATGTAGAGGGAGGGAGAAGATGGATGGTGTAAACGCACCAGCAAATAGCGGTGCTAGGCATTGTGGCAATTATTCTTGGTCGCATTCCACGGAGGAAATCCGGCCCAGCCGTACTGATTCTTGATGAGTCTTGCAGCGTTGAATAAGCCCTTAGCGGTTCTTGCCTCGGGGTCCTGCGCTGTACCTCTCGTCTGTAGGACGGTCTTAATAACATCTAAAGGAGTTGTAACGGCGGCGGCAACCGCACCCGCTAGACCACCGGCAATGCAGTGGGTGAAGGGATCATATCGTTTCGTCGGGTTCATAATTTTGGACGTCGATTCGTATGCCATAAACTGGGCTGCCGTGAACGGAATAGTCATGCACAACGTGGTTGGGTAGGAGACGTAGAAGGCACGGAGGCCCTCAGTTCGATAAACTGTTCTGGCGCATTGAACCAGGGTTCTGTGAGTCGATCCGTGAACTTGCATGCGCTGCTTGATAACTGTATAAAAACATTAGCTTGGAAGATTGTGACTTTTGGCGAATTTTATTGTTGCATACCATCGAATGGATTCATCAGCGCATCGCTTGTGATAGTGGCGGCAGCACCACTCAGAGCTAGAAACAGAGCGTTAATACTTCTTTTAGAAGTCATGATATGGGGGAAAAAGGCTGACCTGCAGCAAGTGGGTGATGGCCCGAACCAACATTTCCACCAGCAAGCTCTTTCACGACCTCGTATGTGCCAAAGTATACGGCGTGGGCGGGCCCTGTACCAACACAATTTTTATATCAGCTTGTTGTTCGCAAATACGGCTCAAGTTGCACTTCAAACGACTGGTAACAGTGCAAAGTCCCAGAATTATCATACCTGCTCCCACGATAACACTAGAAACACCCTTCCATAGCGCTCTCCAACCCTCAATACGTGAAATGGTTGATACCGCGTGGGTGAGGCCGGTGTAAAGTCCACCAGCACCGGGGTTTAGGACTTGCATTCTGGTCTGAGCAGTTAAAGAACATTCTCAATCAGTATTTTATGCCTGAGTAACGCAAATAAATGACCGATATCAACTCTTGCGCCTGGAATAGCATACCTTCAGCAAGTCTACCGGATACATAACCGAATGCTCCTGTACAAAGATTCCAAGTTAGCACCAGTATATAGCCTCCTTCATATCAATGCGTAAGGTAGTAAAAGACGTACTGCAATGCCGGCGAAGGCGCCTGCCAGCATATTATGGGCGAGAGTGTAGTTCTCTGGGAGCGCCTCATAGCTATACAAGAAATCAACGGTCAGCAAAAATCGGCCCCTTCCTTCACGACCACCAGCATAAGGAGACTCTCAGGCTCGATATACTGCCGGATTCGATAGTCCGGCATTGCTTGGAAAAGAAGACGTACTCGAATTCTTCAGCTGCAACAGCATGGTGCTCTGTAGAAGCCATGAAAGGCTCGTGGACGCAGCCGGAGCCGCCTGATTCAACCGTGGCCTTCACGGTGGCGGGATTCCCGTGAATTTCGTGAATACTCTGACCGGAGACGAGGGATTCTTCAACCGGGCTGTCCCTTAGAACCGTGGAGTCAGGGCGAGGATTTGGAGCTGAGAAGTTGGGGGATGCGACTAAGGAAAAAAAAATAGTGGTTGACGGAGAGAGTTTTCCCTGCTAAGATAAGAACAGAACCGCCTTGGTAGGTTAACTGACAGCACAACCGCCGAACAACCAGCAAGGCACCGCTCGAAGCAAAAGGTATCAGATGAGACGAAAGTGAAGAAGAGGAAGAGAAAGCCGTTGCTGAAGAAGATATTCTTTCCCAGCCCAAAAATTTTGACAGGTTTCTTTTTCTCCGATCGACTAGGCGGACCTCCGCTTTACTTTAATACATGGATGGAGAGTATTGGCTTTTTTGGTCAACAGCAACAACCAACAGTCTCTTTACGGTAGCAGGATACGGAGTGCTCTGGCGCATTCCCCGTCTCAGCGAGCCCTTCTACAGCTTGCTCTTCGAGTTTCTGTCAACCTGGGCAGCGTCCCTATTTAGTACCGGATCCGAGATGAGCGCGCTCGCACGAAACCTCCGACTATCCACCTCGTACAACGGATTTAACTAGCCCAGTTATCCCCATCCTGCAAAGCGTTGACAAGCCTCTTGTAAAAGACAGGGCAAAGGACACCCCCCGGCTGCTATACTGATACCGCTGCATCCTTGTCTCAGGCAAGTTTATGCGTACAGAGCGCGCAACGGGTATGCCGGAAACTAGCAAAACGATTATCAGATCCTCCCCCGGAAATACGGCTACATGTCGACGGAGTATCCAGGCCCATAGTTTGGTTATCGGAGGAACCAAAGTGTCCGTTCCATTCGCGGCTCCGTCCTCGCCTCTCGCTGGGGCCCTCGGCTGGCCGCGTTGACACTCTTCCTCTCCCAGGTTTCCATGCCGCTCATGTAGTCTGTGTGGAGTTCTCTGAAAATCTGATAAGAAATTTCCGCGCTTTTTATTTGATTTCTTGCCTCCTGGCTTCTGACTATTTACAAGGATGGGGAAGCTCTCTCCTTGCTTCCCTGACCGTTCATCCACGTTTCATATAGGATGTCCCGGCAGACAATCTCGTGCATTGTCTCTCATCCTGGCGAGACTTGGCTCAGTCCCAGCGTCACTCTCAACAAGGGCTGCCTCTGGTTGATTTGAGCATCCCCAATTTATTTTCTTTTTCCTTTCGTTTTTTCGTTGCTCATAAATTTTGATAATTTCGATCTGATAAGAAAACATCACGTGAGAATAAACTTAAGGTTCAAGGTTTACCTCGGCTAAGCGACGAAAGAGGAAAGAGGAAGGACGAAAACAATTGACGGATAATTTAAAGATGATAACGGCTGCAAGTGTTGCCTAATTACTAATGATATAGTTAATTAATTAACAGAGACGAAGAGGGCCATCTGGCAGGACAGAAATATGCCGGGTTCTTTTTCTTCTTCCTTCCTAGACGTATGGTAATGAGATAGACATGAGATTGGATGGCAGCGACGTGCCGTATGTATAGGCAACTAAAGGCGTAGATATAGATATCTAAATTGCAAACATCGAGTCAAAATAGTTTGCTCAAGGAAATGGCAATGCAAGTGATCATAAATAGATTTACCATGCTCGTAAAAGAAAGTCATTCATGAATAATATGATTTTTTGTTCAACGGGAATGGGCAAGGTAAAGAAGTGACGAGAGAGGTGAGATGCAAGCCGCTAGAAAGGTCAGATAGTCATAAGGAGTGGTAGGGCGTAACGTGCAGGCTAGATAATAAAGGATAAAACTTATGCCGGGTATAAGGAGATAGGAGGCTTAGTAAGGGCCATGGGCGTGCCAGCGACCAGATGGGGGAGGATATTTAGATTTGTTATTTCAGATCTACTATGAAAGACCATTCACCTAGAATAGCGTCAGGGGTTAGTACGGCTAGTAAGGTTATAAGGGCGGAGTTAAACATACCGGCCTTTAGATTCTCAGCTGTATCGGAAAGAAGGATAACTCGTCGTTTGTTGCAATAGGAGGTCTTGTCGAGAATATCGACTTTCAAGCCTGCGAGTTCGGAGATAGGCTTCTCAAACATCTCACTCAGGTTCTCGACGGCCATCTCGAGGTCTCGCTGGTTATCCTCGAAGATTTCAGTCAAGTTATTGCGCGTAAGGTAGAAGGCAAAGGCATATGTCCATTTAAGCGTTTGTCGACACTCCTGGAGCGTACGTGATGCAGTGTCAAGGAACTGTACTTCGATCCAAGACAGACCGGATTGAGACTGGAGGTTCACCATCATCTTCTCTGTCTTCAAGAACAGGTCTCGGTCGAGCTTGGCTGACTGCTCGTGGTTAGCGAAGCGGTTGTAGTAGTGAAGATACCGCTCAAGGGATTGACGCGAGCGAGTCTGCGAGTCTCGTGCATCAGAGGAACCCTTTTCTTCGAATCTGTTGCAGTTGTACCAGCTTGTTCCATGTTCGGACCAGGGGCCAAGGCACATCCAGCAGAACTCATGCTTGCATTTTCTACATGTCATGTGGTTGCAGCCTCCGTTCTTTTCGATGGTAGAATGACATTTGGGGCATTCTTTGGTGTTGGCTGAGATCCAGTTTGCCGTTTCCGAGTCATCCTTGCACTTCTTAACCCATTTCTTGACTAAGGCACAGGGACAGGGCTGGTGGTTGCCAACGTCACATCCAAAGCAGAAGGCAAACGCGCAGGCACAGTTTACCGTCGGGACGACACGGTCCAAATCTCGCTCCTTGACAGCACATCGAATAGCGAACTCGCAGTTAGGAGCTGGACACCACTTCAAGTTTGGCATGTCGTCGACATAGGTTCGTATCAGCAGAGTTCGGTACCTAGAAGAACGTAATGGTTAGTACTGTCAATGGTGGAGTACAAGCTTATCCTTTTTCCCTCAGAAGCGACTCACCGATCTCTCACATCCTCTCCCACAAGTAAATCAAGCGACTTCGAATCGATAATCCGATGACACTGATCCTGCGGACACTCTATCCTCGCAGCCTCTCCCTCTTCTTTGATCTTCTGCCCCAGATAGTGGCTATAGCAGTCCACACAGAATCTATGCCCACACCGCATTGCATAAGTCTGAAGATCCGGCCCGTCTTCACAACAGATATCACACATGAAGCCAGGCATAACTTCAGTTTTTGGGTTGGTCGAGAATGTCGGTCCAAGACCAGCGTCTTCAAGTGTCTTCTCGGGATGGTCCATGTACGACTCTATCAGCTTCTCTCTGTTCCATCTGCTGAACCGAAGTAGGATAGCAGCGCTCTCCGCAGGCAAGCCAAGTATAGAGGAGACTTCATTGATCTGCACGTTCTGTTCCCGTGTGATATCGTTTGGACTGAGGGCTGTGGAATCGGTCTCGTATGGCTGCCGTACAGGCTTGATGTCTTTCTCATAGTTGAAGGAGCCTCCAAGGTCTTCTTCGAAGTCTACAACAGTTCAGTTAGACCATACACTTCTAATACAACCGTGTAAGTAAGTAGACGAGGTAGGTGCCGGCTTACCGCCTCCTAAGCTCTCGTTATCGCTGCCCTGCGTATCGAGAAAGTCCTGCCCACTCGACCCATCCGTCATAAAATCGTCGTCTGAGTCCATGGCTGAAGCCGTTCCCGTCACTTCACAGCCTAGTAGAACTCGTCTTAACGTAGACCGAAGAGGCAAACCCCAAATCCCAGGTGGAGAGCTATCAAGGCACAGCTCTAGAGGACCAGTCTCAGTATCACCAGGAGTAGTCAACGGGGGGGCTATGACTCCTGTAGTTCTATTCTCAGCTGTCAGCACTTCTGAATGTCGGGTTGAAGCCTGTGAGGAAAAGTGAAGCTGACCTGGTAGCGATAACGTGAACTTATAAAAATATTTCCCAACTGCCGCTGTAGCTACTTTTCGGTCCGCAGCAGGAAGCTAGTGGGGGAGGCGAACACTCCAGCGAACTAATAAATAAACCAGTGAGTAAGCTAAGCCCCCTGAGATGTTCTATCTCCTGGTCGATATCAGGCAGCAGCAGGCGAAGGATGTGGAATGGAGCAGAGGGGGCGAGCAGGCTGTCGGTGGAGGAAGAAAGGGGACAACGGTGACTGACCGACTGCCTGGCTGACTGGATGACTGGATGACTGGCGCGGATGACGGAGATCTCGTGGTGGATGCGGATGGTTAAGACTTTTGAGGAACTTAGTTACTAGGAGCAGCGGCAGCTGGGGTCCCAGCAAGAACAAGGCGATTATATATGTATGTATCTCTAACTACGGCTGACTAGTTAGTTAGCGCCAGGCCACCACGAACGATACCTATCACTTTCCAGGCAGTTTGTTGGGCCGGATCCAGGCTGTGCAGGTCTGAAACGGTATCCTTGTTCTTAGCAGATGGTATGACACATTCCTTAAAGGCTGTTTCCCGCCAGGCTGCACTCCTGAAAACTACTTGCGGTGGGAGAGAAAAGGAAGAGAGTTTTCTTTACGGCGAGCCGCAGAGCCGCATCGAATCTATTTCTTTCCTCGCCACGTTAGAAGCAAAGGGGGAAGAGGGCGTTCATTTGTCTAATTTATATTGAACTGCCTAGCTTATGTATACTAGATGGGGAAGACGATCAAGAGTCGCTTTCCTCTTCATCATCTTCGTCGTCATCATCTTCATCGTCGTCCTCGTCGTCGTCATCGTCTTCACCACTTTCGGAGTCAGCTTCAAGCCAGTCTATGAACGGCTTCGTCTGTGTCCGGACGCTCTCCATAGCAGGCGTGGCAGTTGACCGCTCGTCTTCCCACCACTGCGAGAAGGCCTCTGAATCCACTATCTCCAGGTCATAAAGCTCCTTCGCCGTGAAAAGCAAGATGTTACCTCCCTTATTCCGCTCCGTGAGATCCTTCTGGAAAAGCAGCAACAAGTCTACCTGGTCAGGTTTGTCGTCGGAGTCGTGATCGAATACGATTCGCATAACCGTGTCCTTGTACTTTTTGAATAGTTCTCGGACAGAATCAGCTAGGCCGACAGTGCCTGCTTCTGTGACGTGCTGAATATACTTCATAAACGCCATGACCACGGCACGACGGACTTGGTGCTCAGATGCGTTGGCGCTCATGCGTAGACCAACCAGCTCGAGCTGCACCACCTCAGCGCTAAGACCTTCCTTAAGGCCGTCGAAGACACTAGAGACGGCATCGTGGTGGAACTGGTCCCGTCCTTCGTCGTCAGATGTCGTTGTGCTGACACTGTCAGATCTTGAGCGGAAGGCAAAGTCACCGTCCTCGGTCTTTTCTGACGTGAGAGTCGATATAGATGCATCCGAAAGCGAAAGTTCAGCCATATTGTACACTGCAGAGCAAGGTCAGCCAAACGTATATTCACCATGTGTGCCCCTCCAAGAGAGTAAACTTACTTAAACCAGGGATGAAATCGACTTCTTCTTCATCCTCATCCTCTTCCGACACAAACTCAAACCCTTCACCGTCTTTACCAACAAGCTTCTCATCATTCGGGATCTTCTGCTCTGGGTCTCTCTGGAATGTGGTAATGCTCATGCTCTCAGGTATAGATGTTCCACTCGAGATCTTGACGCCATAGGACAGCAAAGCACCTGGCTCAATCCGGCATTTATCTCCAATGACTGAACCGTTGGCTACAATAGCATGCCGTATCTCAGTTGCTTCACCCACAACCACATCATCCCAGATATACGCACCGTCAAGGACAACATTTTTGCCAATCTTGCACCTTCGGCCGATGACGCTGTTGGTGATAACGGCGCCTTCTGCGATAGTTGTATCCTTTCCGATGACGGTTCGGCTGTGGATGGTTGCAGATCTAGCCAGCACAACACCCTGTTCCTGGTAGACAAAATTCCGCTTAAATGTGTATGTATATCCAGGGAATAGGTTTGTGTCTGGACATAATGGAAAGGTCCATCGTGATATAACATCCTGACTGACGAGGTCGTACGCGTGCAGATTTTGAACTCTGGTGGCATAGTGGTCCTTCAAGATGTGAGTGTGTATTGTCATTCCATTAAGCTCGTAATCCTTCAGTACGCCGTGAAGAAAATGGGTACGTGGAGACTGGTAGTCGAAACTATCCGCCCACAGACCAAGGACTTCGGGCGTACATATATCGATGCGGCAATCGTACAGATCATTTCGAACATCAATCTCGGCATGTGCGTCAAGGAGTTCCGGATCTATCTCGAGATTCGACGGTAGATCGTACCCGTCATGTGAATGGTACGGAAGCTCTTCGTAATGCAGACATCGATCCTTGGTCGGATCAATGACAAACAACGGCGCATCGGCACTCTTGCGAACTCGATTCGACTCTCCGACTTCTCTAAGTATCATAGTCATGATGGCGTTTCGGTTTGTTTCTCGTCGAGCTCGGTGCTCGATCAACGCCTGCTCAAGTGGGATATTGCCAATAACGTCACCGTTGACTAGCAGAAAGTCACCATTCATTAGATGCTTCTCATGTAGATCGCGCATGACTTCTCCAAATGTAGTTGCTGCCGTCCTGATAAGCCGGACTTTTGTAAATGGCGATATGTCTGACTTCCACTTCGAGTCGCTGCATAATTGTATAAGTCCACAGGTCCTGAAATAAACTAAACGTGCTAGGTGGAAGGACGTACTTGAGATAAGTTTCTAGCATATCCGCATGCGCACCGGCGTAGAGCAATATCTCCTCCATTCCGGCATTGGACAGGAATTCAAGGGTATAGTCAATCAAGAGGGTATTGGCGATGGGTAGAAGACACTATTTTGATATCAGGCGTCCGTAAGCCCCGCACACCATAGAAAAAAGGCCAATGTACAGCCATAACGTACCCTCGGTTTCTCAAGTGTGAACGGTTCAAATCGCGTCTCAAAAATATCGGTAACTACCTAAGACCAGCAGTTAGTATTGCCTTTTGCAACCTATCTAAGAAAAAGTGGGATGATCAACTTACCACCGCCTGGAATGGCTGTTGTCTCTCATCTAGCATAGGATCCCTACGTCTAGCTGCACCTTCTCCGCGCTTCTTATTCCCCTTTGGCGCCCCTCCTCCCCGCTGTTTCGATCCCTTCGGAGCCATGGTGTCGTAGTTATCGTTATCGTGGTGGTGGGGGAGTAGTCCCCGTTGAACTGACTCACCGCGGGGACAAAGCTGCTGTTTCTTCAGGCGGATTAACGGGGTATGGTAATATAGAGGTAGCCTTGGAGAACGGCCGAGTACAGGCCTTTTAACTGGCAGAAATCAATGGCTTCTCAGTCACTGTAAGAGCTCTTCGCATGGAACTTCCCTTGAATGCGCCGATTAACTAGAAAGCTACAGTCAATATTTTTATGACTCCTGCTGCTTACATAACTACGAAGGGATAAAGCCCTAACCTTAACTCGGACTAGCGTATTTCTTCCCCTGCGTGTAAATGTTTAGTCATGATAGACTCATCGTGACATGGTTAAAATGAACAAAGCAGCATGACTAAGCTTCTTATAGAACGAGTAATGATATTCAATTAAGCATTATACGTATCGAAAGTGCATCGTTTATTTCAATTGAGACTCTTCATCATGAAACCAACCAAGCGTGCATGCGCCAGGAACCCAGCAAGTCAACCGAAAATCCCTACTGCTGATCCTTGTGGCTCTTCCAAGTAAATATATATGGTCCGCACCTTGGAGCTTCGGTCTTTATTGGATGAGCGATACATTCGCGGAAGCAGCATTGGTTATGGGTGATGCAGTTATCTCCAGGCTTCGTGCATCCTTCTCTCCGGAAGATGTCGTTGGCAATTGATGCTGGTGCTGCCACTGCGACGGCAGAGAATAGGAAGACGGCGCCGAGCCTGTAGATCTGCATGGATGATGATGATGACGACGACAAAAGCTTGGATGTTGAGTGGAGGGATGTAGTTGTAAGTATATTGTCGTCGAAGTAGGTGTAGCTGTGGGGTTTCGAAGGTTCAGATATTTCTTCGATGATCGACAAGTGGATGGTTTGGTTTAGAGGTGGATTCTGTCGGCGGTATGATGTAAAATCAGGGTGCATCGAGGGGCTTTATATCGTCGAGGTTGAACGGTCGCAGGAGATGCGCGAGTAAAGCAGCGAACGAACAAAACAAAGAGACGAGGCACAACTTTCTGCAAGTTGTGTTTCTTTCATAACAGAGATGGTGTAAAAAGGGTATCTAGACTATCTATCATGGATAGACAGTGCAGCGTTTGACACTGCGTACATTCGGCGAAGACCGGCGACGGCTTCTATCCCGCACCAACATCTCAGATGAGAATGTCAAAGTGAGAGCATAAGCAGTACAGCCACCTGCTGCAATTGAGAGCAATTAGTGAATGTCTGTAAGACTGCACTTCGGGAGTCGCGGGTACTCGTGTAAAATGAGTGGTATAACGCCTTCGCGGTCCAACATTCGCATAACCTCGGGGCACCCCGTAACCCGAGTTTCATAATGTTAATCTCCTATGGAGCAAGCAAGTACCTATAGAGAAGAGAAAATAGGGAAGATCTCTTCTTTGTCTTGATCCCATCTACTGCGTAGATCGATTGAGAGATGCCGTCACTGCAGCATCGGCAAGCCATCTCATCAAGATATAAATACTTGCTTTGTTGACGGGCTTTTCTAGATGAGATATATCAACTCGCTCCCGTTAACCACGACGATCAACGCAGCCATCAGCCCATCAGTCCATCATCAGTCCTTCCAGGCCACACTCGAGAAAGCGCTCGAAGTACTTCCCTCCCGTGCCGTGCCTGTGAATCGAAACTACCTTTTCCATCTTTTCTCCGAGAAAACAAGGCCAGAAGGAAAAGCGTAAAAAATCGCCCGCCATGTTGATCACCAAGCTGGTTACTTTCCTCTCCCTCTCGACGGCCGTGCTCGCCCAGCCTGCAGGCGAATCAAAGCGAGACGTGCAACTAGCCCACTGTCCCGAGGGAGTATGTTTTGACGATGCTTTTTACTGCGACTTTGAGACGCATCTGTGTCGTAAAAAGGGCGGCCCTGGACCTTGCGGCTCCGGCGAGTGTATCGAGAACGGAGATGTGCCTGCGCCTGCGCCTGCACCGGCTAAGCGCGATGTCAACTGGGGCTGCATGGCAGACGTGGACTGCAAGTTTGGCGTTGAGAGCTGCGTCTGGATTCGGGCACATGGAGAGTTTAGATGTGTCCCGAAGAAGATGAAGGTCGACTCGAAGACCAGAGGAAACGGTCGAGAGAAGCGCGCGGAGCTGAAGGAGGCTGCGGGTGCTGCTACGGCATGTATGAAGAGGGGCACTGCCTGTGGACGAAACGACACCTGCTGCTCCGGCGTGTGTGCTAAGCGTCATCGGTTCGAGATCGGGCTTCAGACTGACGGTTGGTGCGATTAAACGGGCCAGCTCTGCCAGCTGGCATCTGGCGCGCGCATCCAGCATGCATCATCGGAGCCTCTCGCTTGCCCGCCATCTTCGTTTCGTTTGTTTCGTTTGTTGTTTTTCGTTAGAATGGAGAAGAGAGAGAAGGAGGTGTAGCTTTTTCGCGGCCAAAAAACCCAGTCACGTGAGACACTACCGGCTGAGGCTGACGATGGCTTGAAACGCGTACAACAAAACTGGCTTTTCCTTCGTTTCTTCGATTATCATAGATAGACAGAATCACGCAAGTCACTTACGAATTCACAAGATGCAACTAAACAACTACTCAATGGCATTCTCTCACATTCTTCTTCTTCTTCTTCTCCTCACGCTAGATCTAATGTAGATAACGAGCTAGAGCCCACCGTGCCCCGTCCCGTCCCTCCATCTCCATCGCCAGCCGCCCATCCATCCCCTTACCCTTCCCTTCCCCTCCACCTTCCATCCAGATCTAGATCTGCCCGAAAAAAGACCCCCTAGTCCAGCCAGCTCTAGAACGTCTCAAACCGCCCAAGCCAGCCAGGCCTCAGCAGACCGCAAGTCTAGACTCCCCAAGTCCTTCTCGACCTTGGAAAGATAAAAAAAATAAGATAACGGCCGTGCATGATGGGCAGCAAGGCGAGCTGAGTCGGAACTAACTTAGGTAGTTACCCTAACTACTAGTTAGGTAGTGGGTTACATACATAACATAGCTTGTGCGCTGCGCTGCGTGGGCAGGGGAGCTCTCCTTGGGGCTTCTTTTTCTTTTTGGGTTTCTTTTTTCTCAGCCAGCCCATAACTAGCGGGTTACTTGGGTAACGTACAAGCTGGTCGTGGGCGGTAGACAGCGCTTATACATACATACCTACTAACTAGCTCATGGTTAGATGCTGATATAGATAGTAGATGGATAGCTATGTTAGGGATAGATGGAGAGAGGAGGTTGTTGTTTGCTTCGCTGCATGCGAGGTCACTGGTGTATGTTTGCTGGCTGTGACATATCACACTCGAGTGTTTACATAGCAAAAATCCCGTGAGTACCTCCCTGCTTACAATAGGTAGCCAGTCGGTCGGTGCTCTCTCTAACTCGCTCGCCCAGCAAGGGCGTAAAGAAGTAGGTAACTCGGGGTGATCTCGGGATACGCAACATAAACATTCAACATATACATTCATCATCAGTAACTATTTAAACTACCCAGTACCGAATACCCAGCTAAGCAGGGAGTTAAGTAAGAAGCAAGCTAAGGGAACTCACATCCTCCACATATAGCTATTTAACAGGTAGTTACCAACATGTCAATGTCAACTTCGAGGTACCGCAGTTTAGTTAGTTAGTTATGCATGGACGGAAGGGGTTACACGCGCGGTGACTGGTCCTGCGCTCGCCAAACCCCGACCATCATCTCATGTCCAAGGCTGCTCATCCAGCGCCCAAGACTGAGACACGCTTATCATAGGTAGGCAGGCAGAAAGGCGGATAGGGAAAGACAAGGACAGGGATGGGACAAGACGAGGGATATTTGGAACCGAACTGGCTTTACCTCTACATGTGCATGCATATATGCAGCATTATTAGTTCTACGTGCATGCGTGTGTGTGTGTGTGTGTGTGTGTACATACATACGTACTATATGCAAGTAGGGTCGGTCATCGCTGTCCGTACCTAGAAGTACAGTATACCTTCCCATGGCCCATGCACGGGTAGAGACAGAGAACTTGGACCCTTGACATCCCTATCCCTGCATGCGATGGACAGGGAGGTAGGTGAGATACGAGTACGGGGAGGGAGCGCTGGGGTCAGTTTGCCTCGATGCATCGATAGGCGAACGCAGCTATATTCGAGTCGATAAGGCTACATGGTTGACGGATATAGATGCCGCGATGAAGAGGCGTCCGCGGAGTTCGATGGGGGAAACAGTAGAAGGAGAAGAAAGTGTTTTGTTTTTCATGTACAGCATAAGATAACTAAGTACGGAGTCAAGTCAAGTTGGATCAAGATGAACAACGAAGGAAGCCATAGAATGCCTTGCCGATGCCTAATGGAAGGAGGAAAAAAAGAAAAGGAACATATCAGATGCATCCCAGCCATCTCAGTTCAGCCAGGAAGGGGAAAGAGAGCCAAAGCCAAAGCCAAAGCCAAAGCAAAGCAAAGCAAGCAGTGTCCCGCCCAAGATAAAACCGACCAACCGACCAACCCAAACCCGATGAACTACTGGCTGAAGCAAGGTAAGTAAGTAAATAAAGAGAAAAGAGACAACATCAGTAAACAAGACAGGCTAAATTCTTTTTTGTTTTGTTTGGCAACGCAAGAAAGGGAAGGGAAGGGAAGTCATGGCATGGCATGGTATGGTATGGTATGGCATGACTAGTTAAGTTGGAGTTGGTTAGGTTGGGCATCTTGTACTCGTCTTGTCTCGTCTCGTTCGTCCGTTTGTCTTGAAGTGTGGAGATATATAATGATGCTGTGTTGTGCTGTGTAGTGTTGTGCTATGTTGCGGCTGTAATAATTGATTTGCATACAGCCTGGAAGGACGGCCTGTGGAGGCGGGGAGCGGGATGAGACACGGGATAGTCGAGTGGTGCAGCAGGACGCAAGATGCAGGACGCAGACCAGAGACGAACGACGGCGGCCGGCGAGCGTAGATCCATCCCCAGGTACGGTGTAGAGGTGATGTAGAAGTGAGATGCAGATGCAGGTAGGTTCATGCGGGCGTAGTCGTGAGGTATAGGGAGGTAGCGGCAGAGGTAGAGAGGAAGCGGTAGAGGTAGGAAGGTAGGTAGGTAGTATTATGCATAAAAACGGAAAAAGTAAAAAAAACGCGTAGAAAAATAACCATGACCTAGCGACGACTGCTTTTGCTGCTGCTGCTGCTTCTGCTTCTGCTTGCTGCTTTCAGCTTTCTGCTGGTGCCGCTGAACGAACGAACAAATATCCGCCCGCCCACGCCAAAGAAAAAGAAAAGAGGAAAGAAAAAAAAGAAAAGGACATAACCAACACCGTATATATGATATGATATGATAGGTAAAAAGCAGATAACCAAACAGAATCGCAAGCCGACCGACCGGAAGTAGTGTGTGTGTAGCGTAGCGTGTGTAGTGTAGCCGCACAGTGGGAATGAGAGAGAGAGAAAGAGAGGGTTTCTTTCTTTTTTTTTTTGGGGGGGGGCCCTAATAAATAATTAAGCCATGCGGCTGGTCTGCATGGGATTTACCACTGGCGCACCAGGACCAGGACCCGAACCAGGACCCGAGGCATGGAAGATGCGTTGGCGCTTGTTGTACGCATTGACATTGAGGTCTATGCCAGCCATGTCTGACGCTTGACGACGGTGCTTGATGTGGTTCTGGTTCTGTGCCTGGTTTTGATTTTGGTTCTGGGGCTGGTTTTGTTGTTGGTTCTGGTATTGGAGGCCATTAGTGTCGAAAGACTGGCCCGGGCCGGGGGTGAGGGGTGAGTTCTGCCATGTCTGCTGGCCCATGGTTGACGGGGAGTGGGTGGGTGATGATTCGTCTTTTACTGCTTGGGAAGTGGGCGGGAGGCCTGCGACAGGGACGTTGACGGGGACATTAACGGGGACGGAGATGGAGTTGGATAGTGGACTTGGGCCAGGGCCGGTGTTTGGGTTCGTGTTGTTGCCTTGGCCTGGTGGTTGTGCGGTGGGTGGTGTATTTGATGATGGCGGGGGTTGTTGCTGTTGCTGCTGCTGCTGCTGCTGAGAAGCGTCCATGGGACTGACGTTTTTGAGGGAGACGAGGTGTTTTTCTAGCATGTTGAGGAGGGACTGGCGGGTGAATGGTTTTGGTAGGACGTCGTTCATTCCTGGGTTGTGTTAGTATATAGAAATCCAAAAATAAAGAAATAAAATAAAATAAAATAAAAATAAAAATAAATATAAAAAAGAAAAGAAAAGAATAAGAAAAAGGAAAAAAGAGTAAATACCGTGGTGGAAGTAGAGGTCTATATCGCTTGATCGGATGTTTGAAGTCATTGCAATGATGGGAGTAGAGTCGAAGCGGCGGATGAGACTGCAAGCAGAGACGCCCGTCGAGGTTCGGCATGATGATGTCCATTAGTATAAGATCGTATTTTGACCCTCCTTGTATCTTGTTCACCGCCTCAAGCCCGTCGAGCTGTAGGATGTTGTTAGTGACGAAGCATGAAAAGATAAAATAATAATGAAAAAAATAGAGTAAAAGAGTAGAGAGAGAGAGACTTACGGCGGTGTCTACTACGCAGGAGAAAGAGTAGAGGAACTTGCCTCCTATCTGGCGACAGGTCTGGTCGTCTTCGACGAGCAGGATGTGTGGACTCCGCGCCCAGGCTGGGTCCGGGTAGATGCTCTTCTTCCGCCCGTCATTGGTGACCGGGTACTGCCGCCGTACGTCCGGGACGTCCATGTCTCTGTTTGCGGAAGCACTGGTGGGGAGGGAGTAAGGAATGTTGTTGACGTGTTCGCTGTACATGGGATCTATGCCGTTAGTGGCACCGACCGGGTAGACGACCTGCTCGAGCTCCCCGTTCATCTTAGGGTACGAGAGCGAGGCCTGCTGTGCTGCAGCAGCCGAAGAAGGGGGTAAACCGACGACACCACCGACGACGTTGACTCCGTTCACGCCGTTGACAGCAGCAGCGGCGGCGGCAGCAGCGTTAGCTCGTTGCTGGACTGCGGCGGCGGCCTGCTGGTCGAGCGGCGGCGTGGGCACTATCCCCTCGAGGGCGGAGAAGTTGAACTGGTTCTCTGCGGTCATCTCGTTGAGCAGCTTGGTGGCGTGCTGCAGGGGGGAGGCCGGGTTCTCGTCTATGCCGGCGACCTGCGACGGGCTGAGATCTGTCTGGGACTGGAAGGAGAGGCTGGCGGCAGCGGCGGCGCGGGAGTCTCTCTTCTGCCGGGCGTCGATGGAGTGCAGGTATGTGAGGATGCAGTGGACGACCTGGTCGTGGCCCAGGACGGACTTTTGCACCCGACGGACCTCCTGAAGCATCATCTGGTGGTCGACGGTGAACTGGGTGAAGCGGTCTGCGAGGTGCTGGAGCTGCTGCTGCTGGGCGAGGAGCTGCTGGTTCATGAGGTCGAGCTGCTGCGTGGGGATGGAGTCGTCGTTGGCGGGAGCCTGCTTGCGAGGCGCCGGCGCCTTTCTGCGGATGTTGTCGAGCGAGTCCTTGTTGTCGGCCTTGAACTCGGGATGTTTAAACTCCCACGCCTGCCAAAGTGTAAGTAATGTATACATATAAATATAACTTATATGGAGGTGGACGTACACTGGGGCCGTAGGGCGACTGGCCGGTCTCTTCGTTGTTCTGGCGCACCTTGTGGAAGTCGTACTTGTTGAGCTGGCGCACGAAGCTGGCGAAGTTGCTGTGCTTGAAGTGCTTCGGCAGGATGGACTTTGTGAACTTCTCGCACTGTCAAGCCGTCAGCATCTTGTAAGTGGTAATAACGAGCAATGAGAGACTGACCTCCAGGACGACGAAGCTGTCTCTGTCGTCTCCCCATCTGACTATCTGCGCGTATGAAGGGTCTTCGAGCATCCTGTGGGCGGTCGGGGAGGGTCAGCAAAAGAGAGAGAAAAGGGCGAGTAGCCGAGGAAGAAGGACTCACTTGTAGAGCTTCCTGACCTATGCGCGAGTCAGCCATGCAAATTCACCGCAAAGAAGAGAATAATAATAATAATAATAATAATGAGAAGAAGAAGAGAAGAAGAAGAAGAGAAGAAGAAGAAGAAGCAAAGACTTACAAAGTCGCTCGAGTTGCCAGCCGAGCCGCTGGGCGGAGGGTTATCCATGGCGACAGTTACCAGCGAAGACGACGAGGCCGACGAGAGAGCGAAGGGCGGAGCGAGGAATGAAGAATGACGAGGAGGAGGAGGAGGAAGAAGAAGAGGAAGAAGAGAATGAAGGCTGTCGCTGGTTCGGCGGGCGGGCAAGGATGGTAAAGTAAGTAAAAGTAAAGTAAAGAAGGTAAGACAGAGACAGCGAGAGATAGAGACAGCAAAAGTAAAGAGTGAGCGAGTAGAGCAGTTATGTAAGTGTGTAGGTGTGTAAGTGTGTAATGCAGGGCGGGAGGGAAGAAGCAAGCAAGCACAAGTCAAAGCAGCAAGCCAGGCCAGAAGAAGAAGAAGAAGAAGTAAGAAGTAGAGACAAGTCAAGTCTCAAGGGGAAGAGAGAGAGAGAGAGGAAGAGGAGGAGGAAGAAGAGGGAGGCCAGCCAAGTCAGTCCATGAAGCAAGGAGAAAAGGCGACAGGTGGAGGAAGACACGACGGTGATGGCAGTTTGATATGAGACAGAGAGTTAAGCAAGGGAGTAGGCGTAGGTAAGGAGGGATGAAAAGGGACGACGGAGGGCGATGAACGAGAAAAAGGAAGACGAGGAAGAGGAAGAACTTCTGCTTCTTCGTCCTTTTCTTTTTTTTTTACCTGGTGTGGCTAACAAGAGGTTAAGAAGTTTAAGTTGGTTAGGCTAACTAGGAAGATACATAGGAAGGTAAGGGAGGTAAGGGAGGTTAGGGTGTTAGGGTAGCTGCTCTTCGTTCTTCGCGGATGGTCTTCGTCTTTAAGGGCGACGAGGGCGACGAGGGCGGACGGAGGAGACAGAAGTTGGTGATAAAGGGATAGAGATAGAGATGAAGATACAAGAGATACAAGAGATAGAGATAGTTAGCCGGGAGGTAAAGAGGAGGAAGAAGCAAAGACGGAATACGAGGATGGCCTCTTCTCCGTCGTCTTCGTTCCTCGTCTTCTTCCTCTGCTGCTTCTTCCTTTTTTTGCCTTTTCGAGGTGATGGTTACTTAGTTACTTCTCTCTCTCTTGTGCACTCACTCTTAATCTTACTCTTCTTAATCTTGCTTCTTCTCTCAAGGAGTTCGATATCCGACCCTTGGCTGCCGGCCGACCTGACACCGTCGTTACCTAAGTTACTACCTGTTACGCTTGTTACTCTTGTTACTCTTGTTACTCTACCTGCCATCTTATTCTTCCTTCACCTTACTGCTCCTCCGATATAGCTGCTCTCTTGCTCTCTTGCTTCTCTCTCTCTTGCTGTCTTCTTGTGAAAACTCTTTCCCTTGGATCCCTTTTCTCCACCGGGTGAGGTTATAACTAACACTAAAACTACCCAGGATCATCTCCGTTGCTCTCTAACTAACTGCTGCTGCTCGGAAGTCACCGCTCTTCTTCTTCTTCCTCTTCTTCCTCCTCATCCTCCTCCTCGTCCTTTTAGTACTCCTACTACCACCGCATCACTCTTCTTGCCACCGCTAGACTTGCCCTAGCAGGACTACTACTACTAGTTGCTAGTTGGCCCTCTCATCTTACGCCGCTTGTTTACTTCTCGCCGGTGAGGGACGAGAGGTCGGCAGTCAAGAGGGGTCATGTGATGCTGACTACGAGACAGACATTAGAAAGAAGCAAAAAGAGGACAAGACAAGAAGCAGCAGCAAGACGACGGTTAGCTAGTTAAAAAGAGGTAAAGATAAAAACCAGCTTAATGCTCCGTAGTTATATAGAGTAGTTAGCTCAGCCGGTTACCTGCGTACTTGGTTACCCTGGACGGTACCTGTCCCTGTACCTGTACCTGGAGTCTACCTTTCCGGCCCTTCTTGTTCTTCCTTACATTCTTCATTCCTCTTCATCTTTAGCCATCCCATCCCTGTCTGACTGCTTGGCGAGACCCTCCCAAAAAGAAGGCCCAAGCCTTGTCCTAACTCTCCAACGCTTGACACCAGCTGCCTTCCTCCACCAACCACCTCTTACTACCTGCTTGCTGCTTACTGCTACTGACATCGACATCAATATCAACATCAACATCAGTATCAACACCAATTGGCCGTAAGATAACAAGAACAGCCATGTTCAGACTCGCCCGAGCATCCCGTCTCCCCTTCTCCCTCACTCCCACCTCTGCGTCCACCCGCGCATTCCACTCCTCCCGCCCTCTCGCCGTCAGCCTCGGAGACGCCATCCCGGACCTCGACGTCCTGACCGAGAACTCGCCGGGAAATAAAGTCAACCTCGCCTCCGAGCTGGCCTCGGGCAAGGGGGTCGTCGTCGGCACTCCTGGCGCCTTCAGTAGGTTCACTCCTCTCCTCATTTACCTTTACTTTAATTTCACTCGTTTATTCATTTACTTTTCTACTCGTTTGATCCATGCTAACCGCAGCGGTCGTCGGCGGCAGCCCCCGGATGCTCTCTCTCGCATGTACCAGGCTTCCTTAACCATCCCAAGCTGAAAGACGCAGGCAAGGTCTTTGTCGTTTCGGTTAACGATGCTTTCGTGTTGGTCTTCTTATCTCTTATCTCTGTCCTTATCACTTGTCTGTTTTATGTTTTATTGACGTCTACATAGGACCAAGGCGTGGGGAGAATCACTTGACCCGCAGAAGAAGAGTGGTGTTCGCTTCCTGGCCGATGCGTCGGGCGAGTTCAACAGGCAGCTGGACCTGCTCTTCAGCTCCGCAAAGGTGTTTGGTAACGACAGGTGCAAGAGGTATGCCCTGCTCGTCGAAGATGGGAAGGTCGTCAAGGCTTTTGTCGAGCCTGACAACACCAGTGTCGATGGTACGTCGTCTCTCTTTTCTTTCTCTCTCTCTCTCTATATATATATATTATACTCTTTGTATAGATACTGATTGATTGCTTGTTTAGTGTCTCGCGCGGAAAAGGTGCTTGGATAGAGACAGTAGATAGACCTTGATTCTCTCTCATGTATGATAGATAGTATAGTTATCCTATCGATGCCATGTTCCAGCATGCAACGTCCTTCCCGCTACTGCTTTCTATCTCACTGCTTCGCCTTCTCCCATTGCTCGGGTGTATAACACTTGGGCGTCCAGGCGTGGATGGCAGCTATCTCCGCCTTGAGTGCTGAGTTGACCAGTCGGTGGCGGGCGAGCGTCGTCTTGCTCTCGAACTGGGGGGATACTATTATGGCTTGGAACGCTTGGCCGCAGCCTCCTATACACACATTCCCTCATTAGCACGTACACACACATACATACATGTACATACACATTTCAATATAGTCATGGGTTGGTATATACCTGATAGATCCTCGACTTCTACATGCTGTGCGCCAATCTTGGTCGTGAGGATGGACTTTATTGAGTCGGGCGTTACGGCCAGTGAGGATTGGGGTTCGTTGGGGGCGGGTTGCGCCATGCTAGAGTATGGATATACTGCGTTGAAGCGGTTTGTTCTAAGGGTTGTAGTGATGCTGGTTGGCCGGCGGAAGGCTGGTAGTAGACGGGTGGTGAGGCGGGAGGACATAAGTTTGTTGGTTCCGGAAGTAGCGAAACAAAGAAGAGAAGAAGAAGAAGAAGAAGAAGAAGAAGAAGAAGAAGAAAAGAAAAGAGAGGAGGAGAGAAAGAGAGAGGTATTAAATCTGTCGTGATGATGCGATGGAGTTAAAAGGGACGGATGAAAGAGAAGGGAAAAAAGTTGATGACCGCGCATTAGTAATTACCGAGTTAAGGTGCTTTATAGCCGCCGCTTAATTTAACCGCGATGTGGGGAACTTGCGCCCCCACCTTTTGGCCCTTTTTGTTGTTGTGAGCGGTAAAGTTCTTGACATCCCGAAACATCAACATCCACCGTCACTGCTGTCGTTTTACTATTTCTCCGCACCAACTACCCAGATCTACTGCCAATGCTTGCTGCTTCTCTTAGACAAGCATCCAGGATGGTTACCGCTCGCTCCCCCTTCTCCCAGGCTGTTGTCAAATGCATGCGGAAACTGTAAGAATCCCCATTGCTAGCTAGCTAGCTGTAAGATCAAGCTGACCTTCTCTTCCACCTAGGTACCCGGAGCAACTTGCTGATAAGAGCTTTGACAACACTGGCTGTTAGTTCTCCGATGTGTATATAGTGTACTTGGTTGCTGATGCTTGTATTAAAAGTACTCCTGGAGGCACCGCTGAACGTGCACCGTCGGCTTAACAACTCAGTCCTTCTAACCGTTGACCTCACAAGGGCCGTGGCGGATGAAGCCATCGCCCGGGGTGACTCCATCATTATTGCATACCGTGGGCTATCTCTTAGCTGAAATGGTGTGGACAATTTACTGACGAGCAAACGATACAAAGATCCCATTATATTCCGTGGCCTCAAGTCCCTCACCCTCGATAACTCACAGCAGGACTCCCTCCTCCAACTGGCACAGGAAGGAATAAGTGTGTACTCGCCCCATACGGCTGTCGATGCCACGCCAGGTGCAATGGCGGACTGGTTGTGCCAGTGCGCGGTACCAGATTCCATACAACCTCGCCTAACCGCGGAAACACTATATCCTTCCCCTGATCCACCAGAAGACCCAAAATTCCAAAAGGCTGGCATGGGAAGGAAAATCACTTTCAGAGAGCCCGTCTTGTTAAACGACATACTGGATTCCATTGCGAAGAAAGCCTTTTCTCATTCCCATGCTACTCATACTGCTGCTCCTGCTGTGGGGTTCTCCGTCGCTATACCGCAAGATACGTATAGGTCAAACATCAGCATCTCTACCGTTGCAGCTTGTCCAGGCTCAGGGTCATCAATACTTATGAAAAACGGCAAACCCGTAGCTGACTTGCTGCTTACGGGAGAGTTAAGCCATCATGAAGCACTGGCTGCAATAGAAGCAGGCTCAGTGGTGGTTACTCTCTCTCACTCGAATTCCGAACGGGGGTACTTGCACTCGAAAATGCGTCAGGAGTTGGCTGCGGAGTTGGAATCGGAATGGATGAACAGAAGTAACGAGCTGAATTTTGACGATAAGAACAAGCTAGAGCAGGAAATACTGGAGCAGATCCTGGTTGATGGGAGTTTACAGGTTGACGTTAGTTCGCGGGATAAAGATCCGTATGAGGTAGTCTGCTGGCGGAATGGGGAGGAGGTATGACGACCTTTCACTCTTGTTGATGTACCATAGATCTATCCGCTTCCCATCTATTTAACTCAAAAGAACTCTAATTTCCCCCGTTGTACGCGGGAACAATGCTCTCAAACTCCATTCCCTCTCCTCCTCTTCATTCCCTTCTTCACCAGCTTCTTCTTCATCTTTACCTCCAACGCTCGTCTTTGCCTCATCAGCACCAACAATCATCCCCTCGATAAACTCAAAGTCGCTCGCAAACGCCTCCACTGCCTCCTCTGTAACCCCCTTCACCAGTCCAGCATTGTTCACCCGTTTTAGGTTATCAGTTGCATCAACCAGTGCTGCAGGCAGGAAATCATCTAGCTGCTGACTCACAGCTGATAATGCTTCCGGTTGAAACTCTGGTAACTTCGCAATGGTGTCTAGATGGTTCTTGCTGCCGTCCGACTCGTTATGTGCGTTATATGCCTCCAGGGCACGAAGAAGCGTATCCAGCCCTGACTTCTCTAGCAAGAAATCATGCTGGAATTTATGTAGCTCGGCCCGTAGATTTGCAAGGGTATTTGATAAGGTAGCTAGATGTGTCGAGGACGCAAACTCGTACGCAGACACCGCTGTGCGCGCAGCAAGGATACAGTTCGTTTCGAATATCGTTCGGGAAAAACTGTCCTTGAGCAAATTGGTGGATTTCCTAGTTAGTTCCAACATCGGATCGAGCGTGGATTGAAGGATGGACGTGAATTTGTTTTCTTCCTCACTGCCCTCAGACGTCCTGCTAAGCACCGCATGGCTGAAAGATGAGTCGTAGGCTTTCATCAACTGCTCGAGACTCTCGACGCATTCTGTAAAGTATTCTGGCGGGCTCAGGTCATCAGGGGGCAGCAGGCCAGCAGCATCGTTCGAAGCAGCCTTCACGCGCCCTCGAGCCAGGCTTTCGAAATGTTCCATTGTGAAGCGCTCCAGGGACGAAAGCGTATCTACCAGCGCCGAATCGGCCCCTACAAGCTTGTTGAACGTCGTTTCATAGAAAGCAAGAAGATTAGCCACTTTGTATATAGTAACTGTGTCATCATGGCCTTGGACAACTAGTTCAACTCTTTGCTGGAGCGAGCGAGCAACGCCGCTTAGATCTCGTGTGATGAGCTCCTTTAACGCCTTTTGACCGTCAAATACAGGTTCTCCTTCTTCCCCGCGAGACCACGGTTCGCTCTTGATACCTGCCTCCATCCCCTTTGCGAGGTCGTCCGCGTCCGAAACGAAGAGGGCCTCTAAGGCTTCTCGCTCGGAGACGGTAGCGGAATGCACCCAGGCAAGCATATCGCCCACATATCGTAGTGGATCGTGTGCGGAAAACTCAATTGGCTTGGTATTTGCGTCCGCTGCCTCGCTGGACAATGCTACCGTAAGAGCATGATGGAATGCATCAGACAGGATATATTCACGAGCTTCAGCGAAGAAGTCGAGACAACTATGGAACAGACTCGGTCTCTCAGCAAGCACCCGGATTCCCTTCCTGATTGCTCCTCCAATCTGTGGGTCTTCGAGGTTCAATGATTTGAACTCCTTCTGGATCCATTTATATAGTTTGAGAAACGCGGAGTTGAGGTTCTTTGAGCTCTGCTCCATGATCTCTAGTCCTAGCTTTTGGTTTTCACTGCCCAACAGCACCTCGCAGTCCTTGTGTATTTGTTTCGTCCGACCTAGGATGTTGAAAAATCGATCATCCACAGGCTCTGACGGAGAAGTTAGGACTTGGATGTCCTCCTCCGGCAGTATAAAGTGTTTATTGAATGCATTGAGCAGGGCCTGTTTCGTCTCTGCTTCCTCTTTCTGAGCCGTCAGGGTAGATGCTTCTTCGAGTACCGGTCCAGTCTCCTTGTGAGCTACTGAAAGGCGATTCCGCATGTCCTGGCATATGGTATTGAGGTTGGCTATTACATCACCGATTCGAGACAGTTGCTACAGATAAGAGATTCATTAGTTTAGTGCTGTCAAACGAGAGAGAGACGCCAACCTCAGCAACTTTCCCAAAATCCTGTATTATCTTGCCATTGGAATCGATGACTTCCTTCTGGACATCAAGTCGAAGGGTTCTCCTGGTTTCTGCGGTGTTTTTAATCTCCCTACTATCCAACGTCTCAAGAGCATCTCTGATCTCCGAGTCCGCATAGGACGCTGATAGAGCGGAGTTAAGTCGATTGGCCAGCGCCGTCTGCCGCGGAGCTATGTTCGCACCGGCAAGAGGTGGTGATGACATGCCATTTGGAGATGATCCAGCAGCAGTAGCTCCACCCGAACGAAGAGCAGCCATCCTGGTAGCCAGCCTATCTAGATCTCAAACTCGCATCTTTGGTGTATTTCGCTGGTTGATCTGGCGGCAAGGTGGCCCGGGCGTCTCCTCGACGAATTAACGGTCCGTCTTTTTTCCGCTATTCTTTCTTGATTATGTAATCGTATTCTCTCAAAAGGCGCCAGGCGGGAAACTTTTGCTTTCTGTCTTTGCTTTTTGCCTGAGAGCAACAACCACCAACCGCCACCAAGCAACCCGGGATGGCATACCCTGGCATCAAGAGCATAATACTTACGGAGTATATAAGTATGATCGTTTTAGGTTAATATACGCTGGGATTCTTCCAAGGCAGTGAGCGGAATTTCTAACTTTAGCATATACGCCGTACCACTGAAAGAGTTCAGGAAACGGTGGTCCGACGAATGGATTACTCAACGCTAAAAAAAAAGGCTTTGGGAGGGTCCTCAAAATGATAATGGCCTACTTTTACAAGTCATGTACTGTTTCGATTCCTAGTGTGGGGCTGATACCTCTTATTCATGATCTTGTTAGAGGCTACATATGGACAGACGATCAAGATACCAGGCCTGATGGAAATGCGGCTGTTTACGATCTCAACTTAAATCAAACTAACTATGCAGAGCTTTCTCGAGATAAGATAGGCACCTGAAGCTTTCGTCATCTCTCCCCACCCCCTCTAGACTGCTCGATGGGCTAGAATTCTTGTGACTTATGGACTGCGAGGGGCTACCCCAGGGGTTATTCCCAGTTTTTTGATATTCCTTTCCGCAGCAGCACATCAGATCGAAGACCATCTGTTGGGTTTGCTCCACCCCTGGACCTGAACGTTGAACGGAAATGAACCCCTCTTTCAGGAGAGTTCTTACGCTTTTAGGAAATCAGATCGGGGGGTTTTATCATTGAAACAGTGAGTTATAGTTGAAGAGATAATATCGTAGCAGTGCATTAAAGTATATTCATCGTGAACTAATTGGTGGTATTTAGAACATATATAGAGAATGGAAGGTATCTGCGTTTAGCCTTCATATCACTATGCCAATAAGAACGAGGCCCCGAACTCATGCGACATAATCGTGTATTCCACCACCTTTACTTGTTGTTGGTGTCCATTCCGAGGGCGCCCTTGACCTTGTCGGCACTGTAAATGGATGTTAGCAAATGCCCATGAGATTCCTATACAGAATCAAGGCAGTTGACTACTTACATGGCCTGACCAGCTCCACCGCTGTTGTTGTCATTGGCACGCTGGCCCTTGTCGAACATTTGCTGGGCAGTACCCTTCTGGTCGTCAGGCTGGAGACCACTGAAGAATAAGTCAGTTCAATGCACTGCTAGGAAAGATGGGGTGAAATGAGGGTGATTGAAGACCATACCGAGCAATGCGGTCCTTGGTGTCAGTGAAGGCCTCGCCGATCTTGTCCTGCTGGGACTTGGTGCTGTCAGGAGTCAACTCCTCCTTGGCCTCTGTCCAAAATTGTTAGAGTGAGAAAATTCCTTTGAATTTTAAAGAGATGGAAAGAAGAGGGCAAAGCACGTACTGGTAGAGAAATCCTTGCGTCCAGCGTCAGCCATTGTGAATGGTAGTTGTAGAAGAAGTGTCTTCGGAAGGTTTGAAAAAAGATTGTGAAATTGAATCTGAGTAGATTGGTTGTCTTGATGTGTGATGATGATGAGAAAAAAGGAGAGTCTATCTTAGGGACATTGTCGTCCTTTATATAGACATCCCCTCAGGGCCAGATCGAGTGAGAATCCAAATATGACGTATCTGCATTCGTATCTCAAATACTGGGAACACTGCCTTCCCCAAAGCCTGTCGTTGCAAGGGGTATGACGAGCATGTACAGACTTAGCACCAATTTCGCTGTGGGGAGCTTTCACTTTCCTCGGGATCCATTTGCATAACACCTTGCATGCAGCAGAAAGAGAGTCCGTAATGACGTCATATGCCAGGATTTCTAAACACGTGATAAAGCCAAGTGCTGTTAGTCATCATGTTGCATCATAGTTTCTCCGGAGCCCGGGTGCCGAGGCCCATAAACGATCCGTGGGCTCCACCGACATCATCTGTGACTCTCTTCGCGCTTCCATCAACATCATCACCAACATCATCGTCAACCACCAGCAAAGCGACAACCGCCGAGCTCAAACACGGCATGGCCGCTACCCAGTCCCGCATATGACGACTACGCCTCTTCTCTTGTTCCTTTTTTTGCACGAAGTTTTTTTTCCCTGAACCCTTGTTTCTGTTTGTCCTGCCACACCCTGCTGCTGTGCTGTTACCACACCCCACACCAACATTTGCCGTCTTTTTGCCGCTACTCCATACGGATAACAAGCGTGTTATCCTTCGATTTTTGCCTCCTTTCCCCTGCGACGGACCGTGTACCTCTCACAGACAACCCCTCTATAATTCTGGCTGTTAATGTCTGTCCCTGACGCATCACCACCTTCCTGGGATCTGACCCCGGCAATCAGCCTACTACACTCGTTTAGCCTGGAAGGCTACCAACATGAACGCCCCTCAAGCCCAAACCAAACACCAAATGGCCTTATCAACCATGCCACGTTGGCCTCAAGTGGTTTAGGGGATGCCGAACACGATAATAGCGCGCAACCTAAGCTTGGAGATTTTGGCGCCCTTTTTACGTTTCTTTCTCAGACCTCGCCACCAAAGCTTGGTCCTGCCGCTGACAACACGGTCACCCATGCTATCAGTGGCAAGAAAGATGTGCTGGAGACAGCTACAGTGCTGAAGCACCAGCACGAGGAGACCAGATCTCCTGCTAAGAAAGCGATACTCAAGCGGGATACCAAGAACATCGAGTCCGCGGGGTCGCCGGTACCACTAACGCCTGTCAGTGCTACTGTTGTGATCACTCCTAAATCCATTCTTCGCCGGCCTACTGCTATTGCTACTATTGTTTTGGCTGAAGCCGCCCCTTCACCCCCCAAAGGGAAGAGGATCGTTGGGTCTATCATTCATATCGAGCCGCTTCTGACTGGCTCTACAATACAAAGGCAACAGGCTCTTGTCTCGTTGCTTCAAGAGAAACACGCCAAGGTCAGGAATAACCTGCACCATGGAAACCTACGTGAATGCCTATCCCGTCCTTTGAAGACTGCACCGGCAGGTATTCACGTGTTTGTTGATATGTCTAACGTAAGTTGCTGTGCCTTGATTCTCAATAGCCAAAAAAAGCTTAAGCTTATTCAAACTACTCATTGCAGATCATGGTTGGCTTCCACGACTGCATCAAGAAGTCAAGGGACATACCTTTAACTACTCGAGTTCGTCGATTGCCTCTATCATTTCAGAACTTTGCTCTCGTTCTCGAACGAGCGCGGCCAGTCAGCAAGAGAGTCCTTGTTGGCTCTGATCGGTTTCCCGCCATCGACGAAGCAGAGACGCTTGGTTATGAGGCGAACATTCTCGAACGAGTCCACAAGGCGAAGATCTCATCCCCCCGGAAGACGAAACTCTCTGGCGGTGGTGGAGATAGAGCTGCCCGCCGCTCACTCTATGATCAGTCGAGCAGCTCCGAGACGAATGCCCAAGCCTCCACCGAAAGATGGGTGGAGCAAGCCGTAGATGAGATTCTACATTTGAAGATGTTGGAGAGCATCGTTGACACCGATACTCCCTCCACAATTGTGCTGGCGACCGGCGACGCTGCCCAGGCTGAGTATTCAGACGGGTTTTTGAAGATGGTCGACCGTGCGCTGAGCAAGGGCTGGTATGTTGAACTGGTTAGTTTCAGCTCCATCACCAGCCGTGCTTATACTCGGAAATCATTCCGGGACAAATGGGGTTCTAGATTTCGGATTTTTGAGCTTGATATATATGCTGAATATCTGTTGGATCTATGATTTCCCTTCATGCCCCTTCTTGATTCCCGACTCTTTAAAACACACGTTGTGATCCCTGCTACATGAGCAAACTGGTGTTCCTGGTAAAACAGGAGGCCGGTCCGTTTCATTACGGGTTTCGCCGTGGTTGTCGGACCACGTTGCTGAATGAAAGCCTTCGGGGTTGTCCTTTGAAATAAGGGCGTTTTATAGGCAGGGGAATGATTCGGGATGAAGTCAATTACCGCTTGACATATTCTTAACGGGGTATATCTCCGCGAGTAAATTGATCTTCAAGGCACGGAACCGTTAGATCAGATTTTTACAATACTCAAATAACTATGGAGTACATGTATACTTCATCACTTTACAATGTACACAGGAATAATTGATATTAAATATAAGACATACACAGCTGCCGCAAGCACCCTCGTAACTAAATCCCGCGTCTTCGCTACGTGGACTCCGCATCCATGAGCCTCCCCCTGTCAAAGCATTATTTACTTGCATCGTACATTATGCATGCATTAGAATATCTCATGCATTTTCCTTGCTCTCTGCCTGTTAACGAAATTAGCGAAACACATCAACCAACAGGATCTGCCAAAGATCGCTGTTGCTGGCCGTACAATAACCAAGTCCTCCATCCAGGATATGCAAGAGTGCCACGGCTGCTACCTGCACCTCTGCTGCCTGTCTAGCCGGACCTGGGGATTCAACCAACACCCGGCTATCTTCCATCTAGCCGGTCATTAACTGTGATAGAATGGCTCCAGACCCTTGAGAATCTTGGGACAAGCCGTGTTTGAGATACCGCTGTGCGTATCCTCTGGCCTGAAGAATGCTGGTTGCACTGCTGCCTTGAGCATAATAGCTGCGTTATTCCGTTTATCCTGCTCTTGACTCCACTCTGAAAATCGGGATACAAAGAGCTGGAGCCTGATGCCGGAGCCTGGAGCCTGAAGCATTCTCAATCTCTAGTCTGACAAAGACCTCGTTAACCATAAATAACCAGCTAAAAGCCCTTGGGCATCAAACCCAAAAGTTTTTTATGTATATTAAACACCATCTCTCACCAATTTGTACCTCTACCGCTTCTAATCTCCCTCCTACTAGAGAATTCAGACAAAGTAGGACCGCCTTTTTTGCTCATCTTGCACGAGCTGGTTGACTCTTCTCTAAAAGGGCAGCAATATGGCGGAGGCCGTCGATCCTGATACCGGATATATGCTCACTGAGCTCTATGGCGGCGCAATGAAGGTCCTGATACCAAAAGGGTTTGCAAATATAGGGTAAGATATAATTCACTTTTACCACCTCCTTATTATTCCCCCCTCTCTTCCTCCTTATGCTGCCCTGCCTTCATATATCATACAACCGCCGCTGTTGCTTCTTGCGCCTGCAAAACCCCCGCCGCGGGGCTGGTGCCTGCTGAGCGTCCGACCATCACACCAAGTGGACAGAGTGATAAGCTCAAATTTGGGCAAGGATGGCATCGAACAATAAATCATTTACAAAGAGGGACACCCTGCTAAGAAAAAATGATGGATTCAATCATGAAAAAGGTCCATCTTTCCAATCCCTGATAACCAGGAAGTTTTCCGGTCAACCTCAACAAAGACAAATATCATCATCGAGCTGGTTGAACGACTAGAGCCGGGCTCATATACCCTGCCAGAAGAAGTGGTATCCCAGCTAGAAACATCATCGGATAGCAATCAAGTCGAGCTCGGCGCCGTCCTGTATCATCTGCATGATATGTGCACCGCCAACGGAGACACCTATGAAATTCTCGACCCGCCAAAACCGTACCCTGTTCAACTCATACCGTCTCCAGCATATACATGTCAGGCACTGGTGACCTCAAAGGGGCAACTATCCGACACTCAGCGTTTGCTTAACATGCACTCACAGTCTTCACCACAAGCGGCATTGACATCTACACCGGCCGGCACAACTGGTACGACTGTTACTGCGCCCGTACCCCAGCAAGAAACAACTTCCACATGCCACTTCTTCCTTGTACGGCTCGCGCAGTATGGCACCGATATCCTTGTTTATATCAATGTCCCTCACGATAAGCTTGAGGAGTCTGGAGTTCCTGGTGCAGTTGCCCAGGAGGAAATGCGTGCGCATGACATCATGGCCAATATGATGCGGTCCCTGGGGATTATTGACTACAGTCTCTTTGGAGGTTAGCCGTCAGGCCAACAATCGCATGCGCTTTAGCATTAAGTGTAATAGGCGTACGAAGGGGTGGAAATGGGAAAAACGCGAGCATCTTGATCACTAAGAACAAAAGTAACCAAATACTGTATATAAAGGATAAATCAATTTCACTTTCTAGTTGTCCAGTTTATTTAGATTTTTAATATAGACTTGAATATCCAGCAAGGTTGCAATAGTATGAGTGAAAGATGCATAGAATTTACCGGCAAACTGTGAGAAAATCGCTAGGCCTTACAAAGAGTAATAACCGAACCAAAGAAATCTAACAACCTCCGACCAGAAAATTGAACACCAGTACAACTGTCCATCAAAATAACCCTCCCCTACCTCCCCCAGACATCATGAGTTCATGTAACGCTGTCAAGATTTGTTGTCATAAAATTTTATACCTTTGACTTCCCCCTTGGCTTTGGCTTAACCTGCAATAGCTTCCCATCGTGACATTTCCCACATCGCACCTTAACTGGATCAATGCTCCTCGAGTGTCGACCATATTCCTGCCCACAACTCATGCAGCACCACATGTACTTGTAATTAATCAGGTACGAATGTTTCGTGCTAACCTCGACCTTGCCAGAATACTCTGAATGAGCGTCAAGCGCTGTCATGCACTTTTTAGCCCATTGTTTGAAACTGGCCCCATGAGGCTGGTTAAGAACACCGGATATCATGAAATTGGCTAGGTGGCAGTATTCGTGTGCCAATGTGTTGAGCAGCCTATCCTCGCAGTCAATCACCTTCTCGGCTAGCTCAATGGTTGCATTGTGTCTGATTGAGCGATGGACAGAAGAGCGGCTTGAAGATATTAAAAGTTCGTCTGTCGGTAAGGCGCTGGTCGCCGAGGATGATGTTGAGGAAGGCGCATGGGAAGAAGAATTATTCGGAGAGCAAAGGTTCGCTGAAGATGAGTCGATGAGAAATTGCTCTGTTGAATCTCTGTTGCGTGTGATCAACTCCTTTTTCCAAGTTGCCCCGCCAGCCGTGGTAGCCAATTTGTTATTCCAAACAATGTTTACTCCGCCCGCAGATTCAGCGAGTTTCAAAATTTCACCCCCAGTCACCATGGTATCCAATTCGTTAAAGAAGTTTGTTGCAAGTGCGTGCTTTATTTGGTCGAATTCTCGCTTTTTAGCAGCCAATGCCTTCTTCGTCGATGCTGATGCCTTGGCTTGCTTCTTGCCTGGGCTAGCATTGTTCTTGATCGGGGATGCGTGTAAAGGCAGTTTGTCACCCATTGCATCAGGTTCAGGAGTGCCTAGATGTCCTGGAATAGAGACGCCTGTAATCACAAAGTCGTTGTCCTGACTGCCAAAAATCTGTTCATCGTCATCGGCTTCATCCTCTGTGTCCGAGAAGATATCAAAATGCCGTTTGTAGAAATTGGGAGCTTTGATCTTTTGAGGGGAAAATTTGTCATTCCACTCGTTGACGGTTTTCTGGTCCCAAAACATATCAATATCAGGCTTATGAGGGGATGGAGGAATGCGGTTTGCCTGTGATTTTGAAGGAGATTTAAGGCGAGGCTTTGTAGGAGAGGTCGGAGGAGTAACGAAGCTCATCTTCGAGCTGTCTTGTCCAGGAGATTCAGGAGAAGATAGAAGAGGTAGCCTAATTGCAAGTTAGCAAAGTCGGCTTTGGCAAGAATTGATATCCAAAGACAGATCAATTGAAATGGAATATTCCGTACCCTTGAGGGGAACCTGTAGCTCGGCTATTTGTGTTCTTTGTAGAAGTCAAGCCCACAGAGGGCTTGTTTTTCTTTTTATGCTCCTTTGAATATTTAGGAGATGCTGGCGGTGGAAGACGAGGCCTGGAGTCCAGCAGCACATCTGTTGTGATGGCTGCATCTTGCTCATTTGCTTCCTGATCAACAGGACAAGATATGTTGTTCCCCATGTTTGTAAACAACAATGGGTCCTCATCAAGACCTGGGGTATTGTTAGGCTTGCCAACACTCTCACAAGTTTCATTATCTGATGTATGAGAGGGAGTTGAGCTGCGCTGTTTTCTTCTACCCCTAATCAATCTCCTGCGAGGCCGATGCTGTGCCTCAGGCTCAGACTCAGACTTAGGCTCAGGCTCAGCTTCAGCTTCAGAATCTAGATGATTGTTAGAGGAAGTGTGGGTTTTGCTACTTTGTCTCTCTTTCTCCTCCGCATCACTATCATCTTCGCCTTCATACTCCAAGTCTTCGTAGAGACTTAAAGATTCATTATCAGAAACAATAAAGTCATCCAATGAATCGAACCCATCGGTATCATATTCTTCTTGCTCCATAGTACTTTCCTCCTCTTCCCCCTCTTCCTTCCCATGACTGTAACTATGCTTCTTCTTGAATATGTGAGTATGACTTCTCTTATCCGCCTGAGCTTCCTCCTCGTCATGTGCCTCTTCCTTTGCTAGCTCTTCCTCGATATCCTCATCTGCTTCTTGAAGTTCCAGTTTGGTAAACCTCTTAACCACATCTTCTTCCTCATCCTCCCCTCGACATACCTCTTCCCGTTTCTTAGAGGTTAAGGATAAGTCAGATAACTGGGATATCAGCTTTTCCTGGCCATCAATCCGCCTCCTAGACCTTGAGGCTCGCCTAGCGTCATCCTTGGTCTCGTTCCGGTTTGCCCTCCCAGAGCTTCTAGAAGGTGTATTTTCTTCCACTTCATCATCCCTAGTCGTAGATTGAGATTTGATAATAGATTTATCTTCTATAACATTTTTTTCTTTGTCCTGGATGCTCGTTTTGGCCACTTGACTATTTTCCCTTGGCTTTGTATAGAGCCTCGCCATGGTGATTCAGTTTGGGTATTTCTGAAGAAAGGAATAGATGTAGTCTTTTTAAGACAAGATGTCATCAATCGTAAGTAGAAATATGGCGATATTTAGCTGAATTCACTGACTGACTGATTCTTCGCTTTTAGTGGTGAGGTTGATGCTTTGTCGTTGGCTGGGCAACGACGACCATTAAATATGCATAAAAGCTTCTTTCAACTATCAAAAAGTAACAACACAGCTATTTCGAAGCCTCTACAGACGTTACTTCAGTAAAAGAAGGCCGATACAAGGAAAATAAATCAATTTATCGGTTTACCAGGCTACTCCCATGGATAAAAATAAAGGGGGCAAATGGAGTCAGTTTTCATCACTATTACAAACTCATAAAGAAAGGGGAAGGGAAAGGGAATCAAGTCAAGTGCATGCTACGGTACGTACAGGTGGTGTAGCAGAAGAACAACAAAGCAGAAAGAGGATCGGCCGGTCCAATATCGACATGACCATTAGAAAAGAAGAAGCAACAAGAGGGAATCAAAACAAACAAACAAAGACAAGCAAGTTAGAGGGGAAGGAACAACTCAGTTTGCTGATGGGTTATGGACAGATGGTATGTATGGCTCATGTATTATTGGGATCTATCATGGAGAACAGGAGCTGAGGGAATTTATGATTGGTTACACCGCGGAAGTCTATATCAGGATCATACCAGCACCAGCGAGAACGGCACAGAAGAGATAAGCACCAAACTTGACAATACCAAAGTTGACAGATGGGGAGGCAATGGTATGAGCAGCAGCGCCGGAAGAGGTGCTGCTGCCACCTGGGCCGGAGGTGATGCTTCCGGTACCGTCCTGGCCAGCCTGGCCGACAAGGGTGGCGCAGTTGCCGGATGGCTTCTCAGACTTCTGCATGCTGGCGGCACCGCCGAAATCACAGGCAGTGGCTCCGTTGCCCTTAGCGGACTGGTGCTTGTAGTACTGGTCAAAGGCGAAGGAGAGCTGCTCCTTGGGGCTGCACATGCTGTAAGCGCCGTAGACACCCTTGGAAGCGTCAGCAGTGATTCCCTTGCAGGCATCCTTGTCATTGCCACAGACAACTCCGAAGAGCTTGCCGAGTTCCTTGTCAGTGATATCAGAGTTGGCGACGCAGGTCAAGCTCTTGACCATGCAGGAGCAGAGGGACTTGTTGGGAGTTGGTGGGAGAGGCGAGCTCTTGGCCTTCCAGGTATTGCTGGTGGGGCAAGTGCTGAGAGCGGTGTTGGTTGGCTTATAAGCATCCATCTTAACACCAGAGGGCTTGGCTTTGCTGATCTGAGTCTTGAGGTTGTTGAAGTCGGCGAGCTTCTTGGGCTTATCATTCTCAATCTTGACGAGACCTGTTGGCTGTCAGTTAGTGATCGAAGTTATTAAGTATCGAATTGAAGAAATAGGGAGCCTACCATAGTCGTTGGCTTCCTGGAAGTACATGTAGACGATGCCTCCGCTGAGAACAGGAGTCATCTTGTCACCATAGATAGCCTGGACCTCAGTGAACTTTCTTGGCTGGACCTTGTTGCAACCGTACTCGGCAAAGAAGACTGGGACGTTGAAGGACTTGAATTCCTCGACGACCTTATCATAACCGGAAGTAGTGTAAGAAGAGTCACCGCACCAGGAGTAGATGTTGTAGCCCCAGAAGTCAATGGATTCTTCTTGCTTGTTGCAGTTGAAGTAGGCGGTCATGTCATCACGGATCTCAGCGTCGTCGTTGGTAGCATAGCCGACACCCATTGGGCGGTAGTTCTTCTGCTTGATGTAGGCCTTCATATCACGGACGGCAGCTTTAACAAAAGCACTGGCATCGGTGTTGGTGCTGTTGTTGGAGACCTCGTTACCGGCGAAGAAACCGATGGTGTTGGAGTACTGAGCCAGCTCGTCGATGACGGAGGTGTAGCGCTCGTACAGGTCATCGTTCCACTTGGGGTCATCACGGATGATGGAAGTCTTGGGCTCGGAGAGATCAGCCACGACGTAGATACCGGCATCCTGGAGCATCTTCATGCACTGTTTGTGGTCCTTCTTGGGGTCGATGGCGTAAACACGGATAGTGTTGGTTTGCAGCTCCTGCATCAGGGGGATATCACGCTTGCAGGCATCTACGTCTGCGAGTGGGTCTTGGTAACTGTTGTCTGGGTTGGTAGTGCCATTGCTGGAGATTTCCTCTATGCAAGTGTAAGTTGGATGCCGTTTTATATCGCGTGCTACACTGATGGCTCGACGTCTACTTACGCTGATAGGCAATGCCCTTCATGAAGCTATGCGGACGAGTTAGTAAAGTGTTGCTAATGGAGACGATATATGATAAAACAAACGATGGATAAAACGTACAACTCAGTGCCATTTGTCTTATAGAAGAACTTGCTTCCCTATAGTTCCGATATTAAGTCAGTCCCTTCTGCCGGTCTCTCAATATCCAACTGGTTATCAACGCCAAACGGCCACCAACCTTGATGACAATGGGATCGAGGTCAGCAGCGACGACAGAGCCGGCGACAAGGGCCGTAGCGGCCGCCAAAGAGGAAAACTTCATGGTAATGTCTTATGTTTCTCGCGTCTTGATAGTAGATACGAAAGGGTGTAGAAAAAAAAGCGAGAGGATGAGCGTTGGTAATAGAAAAGAAAAAAAAAAACAAACGTAACTAAACGAGAGCGGTTACGAAAGAGAAAGTAGACGCCCCAGAGAATAGCCTCGAACGAGTGTGAAGAAGATGGAAGAAGATGTCTGGTCTGTCTCTCGGAAAAGAGGGTAAGAAAAAAAAGAGCAGGAGAGCGAGTGAAGAAGGAGGAATTTGAAGATGTTTGTTTCGTTTCTGGAGAAAACCGGAGAAAGTCACGTTAACCTTAACCACTTTGGCGGCGGCTTGCGTGGACAAGCACAAGAAAGGGAGAGGGAAAAAAGGGGCTTGCGTAAGTGAAAGTAAAGTAGTCCGCGACTCCTGAAACACCAGCCGGATAGAGCAGAGACAGGCGAGCGCTGAGAGCGAGTAGGACGGGGGAGGGATGTGCGGCTAGATAGACGGGTAGGTGACTCTCCCTGGTCTTCTTGGTCTTCTTGGTCGACGTTCTTGTGCTCTTGTGCTCTTCTTGTGCTTCTTGTGCTCCGGCTGACGGTCTCGCAGACACTTGCTACGGTTGGTTACGGTTGGCTACGAGAGGACTACGAGAGCTACGAGAGGCTGAACAAAGACACCGACAAGGACATCGAGAGGATCGAGACATCAAGAGGATCGAGACGTTGAGGGATCAGGCCGGACTGGCTCCCTGACGCTGACGAGGAGACGGCGATGGGCGGACTCTCGCGGATCCGGTCGATTTTATACTATTTTATACTTGTGCAGAGACGACTTGAATTTCTGCAAGAAACCACTACTGCAGCACCGCCACAGACTGGAGACGCGATGGAGACCGTGAACCACAGTGGCAAAGAGCAAAAAAAAAGAGAGCCAGAGGGAGAAGAAGAAAAAGCGTGAGACGCCCCTTCCCAAGCCTTGAAATGTCAAACACCCCACCTCATCCCTGGGATTGTGAGACACCGATGGAGGGCCCATACAGCATGATTCGAACGGGCATGAGGGCGGGTTCCAGGGTGACACGGAACGAGAGGTACATTACGGCATAAGTATTTTACGGGCCATGGTCCAACCAGGACCCTCTCCCGAGTCGAAGGATGGGTAAGCATCAGACGCAGGAGGGACGATTGATTGAGAGAAAGGAGGGAGTGGACGAAGAAAAAAAAAAGAAAGAAAAAACAAACCAGGAGCAGCAGGCAAGATCTGGCGGTGGGCCGATGCACCGCAATCTCCAGTGATATACCCTCATCTCTGAGGGAGGTTGGAATGCCCTGATTGATTCCCAGGCTGAACCAGGTGGCGAGTCAACTGGACGAGCCAGTTCAGCGTGGTACAACTGGCCATCTGAATCAGTTCGTCCACGTTTAGGGAACTATTTAACCAGTAGACTATTAACTAGTAGAGGGCCCTACTCCCCCCGTACCGCTGAACTAGTCTCAAGGGTCTCAAGTCTGCGAGACCTTGAGGTGGTGCTGGTTGGTCTTCCCGAAGCGCCCGGCGGCCCTGTTTTCCCTCCTTCGCCCCTGGCAGGGGGGTTGGGAGCATGTTTGGACTGGGCTGGCCTTCACCAGCCTCGCCCGCGACCGGTGGCCTGCGCCATCCCAAGGAAATCATCCAGGAGGAGCCTGTGGGCCCCAGGGGGAAAAAACCCATCTCTATCCAAAGGGAAAGAGGCCCAGGAAGGCTTGCCAGGAGAGCTAAGGGGGCCGCCATCTGGGTTGGCCGGGGATCCCTCGCCCCTGTATCACCAGCCGCGTACTGGAATTTCCGTTACATTACATCAAGTTGTGCTATTGATAAAGTGTAATTTACGGTAATACAGAGATATCGTATCACCAATACGCAATAAACAAGCATACGTGCACGATTAGATCGAGGGAAAAAAGCGCCAACTTGTAATTTTGCCTTTTTTCTTCCCTTCTTTTCTTCTTTCTCCCTGTGAAATTCGGTCAATTGACGCTGTGGAAGCTGGACAAATCGATTCTTTTCTTCTTGCTGAGGCCTTTTTTCTTCTTTTGGTTGTCTATCAGGCACGACTCCGTAAAGAAGCAGCAGCAGCAGCAGAAGCCATCAAGCCATCATATCGTCTGAAGAAAAAGAAGCAAAGCGCGAGAAGCAGAGACGAGGACGGAGTACGGAGTAAGCCAGCAGCGAGGAATATTAAATCTCCTGCAGGCTGATCGTCGACACGTCAAATCTCCTGCTTTTCCTCTCTATCGTCACCTATTTTTTTTGCTTCTTTTCTTTTCTTATTCCTTGTCTTCCTTTTGCCGCCCTTTTCTTCCCTTTTCTCTCTTTCGCTCCCTTTCTCGACTCTACCTCGACCTCGACCTCCTCCTCTACTTCTCTCGCACCAAAGTCACTCCTTGTGTGCTTACACTCTTTTCTTCTTCTTCTTCCTCTCTCTGCTGGCTGGAAGAGTGAGTGTCGACTGCTCGCTCGGGTTGTTCGTTCTTGCTACTAAGTAAACGGAAAAGAAAATAACACTCGAAAAAGACGCCTCGATAAGAAGAGAGAGACAGAAACCAACATCGAACATTTTCACGACCTCATAAAAGAAGACGCGAAGACATAGAGGAAAGACGTCAGAGAAACGATTCTTCACGGTCAATCGCTTGTTTAGACTCGGTTGCTTAGGGTTCTTTTTTTTTCTACTGGTTAACTAGCGGGATTGTTTCACTTGCACTCTCACGATTGTCACGTCACGACTGCATCCTCCAACGCCCACAAAGAACATCAAGTCAACTGCATGGATTCGTGTTAAGGTGAGTACTTGTCCTTTTGTACCTGGTGTATCTTGATAAAGCAAGAGAGGCCCTGGGACTGACTCCTGTTAGTGATTGCGTGAATCGACAGACCATCGCACGATGTCCGGCCACCCGCACCCCCAGGGGGGCCAGCAGGACCACTACGACGATGGCTACAATGGCCACGGACAAGGTCACGGTGACTCCTACTACCAGGACCAGAACGGAGGCGGATACTACGATCAATATGATTACCCCCAGGGCCAGCACCAGCAGGGTGATGGCTACTATGACAGAGCGTAAGGACATCCTCCCACCATGAATCCCAAGTTATCCCTCCCCCAATTTTGAATTAGTCGGGTCATTAATTGAAATGGCGTTGCTCCAAGTGATTACTACAGTGGCGATTCTCAGCAGTATCCCCAGGATGGCTACTATGACAACCAGCAGCAGTACTACCAGGATGACTACTACGACAACCAGTACTATGACCAGGGAGCGGGAGACCACAACCAGGGCCGTGGAAGGCGTCGTCCACACGACTCTGAGGAAGACTCAGAGACCTTCAGTGACTTTACCATGAGATCTGATGCCCGTGGTGGCGATGGTGAGTACTATGGTCGTGGTGATGAACGGTACAACAGTTACAGCGAGAGCCAGATGGGTGGCCGAGGATATCGACCTCCATCCTCCCAGATCTCCTACGGAAACCGATCTTCTGGAGCTGCCACTCCCATCTACGGAACTGATGCTCTCCCCATGGGCCAACGATCCCGCGAGCCTTATCCAGCGTGGACCTCTGATGCTCAGATTCCGCTCTCCAAGGAGGAGATTGAAGAGATCTTCTTGGACTTGGTCAACAAGTTTGGCTTCCAGCGTGACAGCATGCGTAACATGTACGATCACTTCATGGTACAGCTTGACTCTCGAGCCTCTCGTATGACTCCCAACCAGGCTCTGCTCTCCCTCCACGCCGATTACATTGGCGGTGAAAATGCCAATTACCGTCGTTGGTACTTCGCTGCCCACCTTGATCTCGACGACGCCGTTGGATTTGCCAACATGAAACTCGGAAAGACCAACAGACGTACCCGCAAGGCCAGAAAGGCCGCTAAGAAGAAGGCAGGAGAGGAACAGAAGGACGAGGCAGAGACGCTCGAGTCTCTAGAAGGCGATAACAGTCTCGAGGCTGCTGAGTACAGATGGAAGACCAGGATGAACCGCATGTCTCAACATGACAGAGCACGCCAAATTGCCTTGTACCTGCTCTGCTGGGGTGAAGCTAACCAGACCAGATTCATGCCAGAGTGTCTCTGCTTCATCTTCAAGTGTGCTGACGACTATCTCCGATCTCCCGAGTGTCAGAACCGTGTTGAGCCTGTTCCAGAGTTCACTTACCTTAACGAGATCATCACCCCGCTGTACCAGTACTGTCGTGACCAAGGATATGAGATCGTTGATGGCAAGTATGTCCGCCGTGAACGTGATCACGCTCAGATTGTCGGATATGACGACTGCAACCAGCTCTTTTGGTATCCAGAGGGAATTGAGCGTATCGTCCTCGAAGACAAGACCCGTCTTGTTGACGTTCCTCCGGCTGAACGATGGAGCAAACTCAAGGATGTCAACTGGAAGAAGTGCTTCTTCAAGACCTACAAGGAAACTCGCTCTTGGTTCCACATGATGGTCAACTTCAACCGTATCTGGATCATCCACGTCACTGCTTACTGGTTCTACACTGCCTACAACTCTCAGACTCTATACACCCCCAATTATACTCAGGAGGGTAACGAATCTCCTCCTGCTGCTTACATCTGGTCTGCTGTTGGTGTTGGTGGTGCTATTGCTGCCTTCATCAACGTCTGGGCCACCCTCGCCGAATGGTGCTATGTTCCTCGCCAATGGGCTGGTGCACAGCATTTGTCGAAGCGTCTTCTCTTCTTGCTGGCTGTGTTCGCTGTCAATCTCGGCCCTAGCGTTTACGTCTTCTTCATCAGTAAGGATGGAAAGGATAAGATTGCTCTCGCCCTTGGAATTGCTCAGTTCTTCATTGCCTTGATCACCTTCGTCTTCTTCTCGGTCATGCCGCTCGGTGGTCTCTTCGGAAGTTACCTAAAGCGAAACTCCCGCCAGTACGTTGCCAGTCAGACATTCACTGCCAGTTATCCTCGTCTCAAGGGCAATGACCGATGGATGTCATACGGATTGTGGGT